GCGCCAAATATACCCTTTTCGGGTAGGTCCGGAAGGCCTCTCGCGGGACCATTTGTTGGGCAGGGACTCGCAGATGCCCCGAGAGGGCTCGAAAGGCTTCAGAGAATGATAGAAATGTATATTCTACAACTACACTAAGGGCTGTAAATCATTATAGTCTTGCCCTAGCTGTATGCCCAGCTAACCCTCCCTCTCGATGGGTCTTTGCCGCACATTTGCCGATACCCGAAAAGGGCATATTTGGCGCGGACAAACAACGCGCGCGGAAATGCGATGTTCAGTTTCTTATGCAAGGCACTGTATCTGACCCCGGTATATGCGAGCTTGCAGCTGGGAAGACCGGATGAGAACAAACAATCCAGAACTCCCAGGAGATGCACGGGCACGCAACCCGGGATACTAAGTGGGGAATGGGAAGGCCAAAGCTACACCTTTTGACCCTGTAAACAGATATAATGATCGTGGTAGCAACGAGGTCTGAGGTATACGTTAGTCCCCTACAGATGTCCGGATGACCTCCCGAGAGAGAGGAACGAGGGACAGCGGCATAGATATGACGAGATCCGCACAAAGAAGCTGCTCGCGGCCATGATAGCTGCGTCGGTCCCGTAGGTACGCAGATAATGAATGTGTCCAACAAGAATCAGTCCCACTGTTCATGTGCATTATTTGCAATTGTACTCATGTCGATAGAGGTGCGTGCGTACCACGAGCCTCGAGTCCTCCCTTTCCGACGGCAGGGCCTTGTTGGCGTTTCGAGCTGCCGCTTCAGCTTGCGCCGCGAGACGACCCTGGTTCGGGTTCGAAGCATTGGTGCCCCGTGTCTGCGCCTAAACGACAAGACAGTTGTAAGTAAGCTATATATTAATGTCTGAGCAAACGGGACTGACCTCTTTCATTCTTCGTTCCGCCGCCTGAGCAGCAGCGCTGCGTGGATCCACACGAGAACTTTGTTCAGACGGAGCATTCCCGCCGAGAACCTGGGCCGAAGAATTAGAGCCCAAAACAGTATGACCGCCGTTGTGGGTGGACGACTTCGAGCAAAGAGAGCCCATATCCGACACTAAAGTTACAGGTAGTGGTGCAGCATCAAGCGTTGATTAGATTCCGAACCTAGAAATTTCAAAGACGCCGGGGGCGACTGGAGGAGACGCCAAGGCTGGCACAGCCTGATCTTATGCAGCCCTTAAATTATAAGAACGCCGGTGCATATGAAAGGAACATCTCGGACCCTGAAGAGGGTCTGGACATCATGGAAGTTAATATGCAAGACTCCTTTAGCTGTAGCACACCAACCCGAAATTTAAATCCGAACGTGTTACATCCGAGGAGTCCGCGTAATCCTACACCAGCACGACCTCGGCAAGGACAGGAAGGAGCAAAGAAATAGCTATGAGGGATTAGACAATGCAATGTAATCCCCCGCCCTTCCGTTTCTGTCTCTAGACCCAGACTCCCTATATCCGTCGTAGCTGCGGCGATAGGTGAGGCCGATATCCTCTGGCTGTCTTCGCGGGATCCAGGCCTTAGCGCGTCCTGCGTGTAAGCACTCCTGTCTGATAGGGTAGGACAAAGCGCGATTCTTACCTCCCACCACTTTCTTCCCGAGTTCCAATTCAAACCGGTGTCAAGGCCCGCTTTGACCATGCGAGCTTTGACTCCAGCCCCTAACAACAGTCCGAATACAGTGAGAAGGTATATGGTCACTACCAGCTGGTCTCTGGGGGAATCACGTTCTACGAAGCATGAGTGAAAGAATTGGCGCTGTCTGTCCACAATACTCACGGAAACAGCGAGCCTCAACATCTCCCTCCTTCCCAGTTGCTGTATCAGGGTCTGTATCACCAAGCGAGGCACCATTACAGATAGCCAAATTCTGGTTGAGACACCATTGCTTCGTGCAAGATAGACAAGGTTTCGATGGATTGTCCGGTATGTCCAGGTGCAAGATGGAGTAGTTTGAGCTAAAGCATATGCCTATATCCTATATCAGTGAGACGTGGAGGATAGAGCCCAGCGTTGCATACATTTGCAGAAGTTGGTAGCTTCCCATTTGTGTCCTAGGATGGCGTGTACAGAGCCCTGTCATGACCCGGCGCTAAGAAACGCTTGTGGGTGAAAGTAAGGAACGGGACAGGCTCACAACAAATGAGAATAATACCAAGAAGCAGGCGATTAGCAGAGACGAGGATCTAGCACCGGCCATGTAGAATGACTCGGGGGATATGCAGCGGTTGTACTGCACTTATGTGCACAACCGGAAGCAAGTGACTGTCAATTGTAAGAATCGGTGGCTGCGTCGGATTCACCACGCGACAACTGCTTCCTCTCCATCCAACGGGAACGTACAAACCGCGTTACCTGGAGGACACTCGTCAAAACTGAGTGCGATGTCGGCGGAATACGAGGACGTTCTGACAAACCAGCCGGTCGTTATCGACAATGTGTGCTTGTTCATGTCCAACTTCCTTTCGAGCTACCTGACGGTACCCATAGGGCTCAGGGACTATTAAGGCTGGATTCGCTGGTCAGGACCATCCCAAATGTTTCTTCCCGTCCTTGTGCGTCTTTACGGTTAGGGCTATCCCCTGTGCGCGTCAAATCATGTTCTGACGCGTCCAATCCACCTGGAATGTTTGGACAGTGTCGGGCGGCCAAAACACGTCCGTGTCATGGCCGGTGCCCTTGAAGGAGATGTTTTCATTGGAAGAAGAGCCCAGGAATTTCGAGGATTGTTGAAGATCAAGTACCCCATGGAACACGGAATTGTTACAGACTGGGACGATATGGAACGGATATGGAGCTGGATATATGCTGAGGAACTGGGTACGCTAAGCGAAGAAGTAAGTCGTTCTTGGATACGCCGGCGTAGAGGATCTGACCAAGGAACAGCACCCAGTATTATTGACTGAGGCACCTTTGAACCCTCGAAGTAATCGGGATGTGGCAGCCCAGATATTTTTCGACACTTTCAACGTCCCTGCACTATTCATCTCTGTCCAAGCTGTATTATCACTGTGAGTCATCCGAAACCTCCTTTGTGGCTACGGTTAGATCCCGTTCTGGCTAGATATTCGTCCGGTCGAACAACCGGTATTGTACTTGATTCAGGAGACGGCGTCACGCATGCTGTGCCGGTCTTCGAAGGGTTCTCCATGCCGCATGCAATACGTCGAGTAGACGTGGCCGGGAGGTACGTTTCTTTTCTTGTGTTTCGCCCCCTCATTCACTGTGTATAGGGACGTGACCGATCATCTACAACTACTTCTGCGGAAAGCCGGACATCATCTACACACGACTGCAGAACGAGAGGTCGTACGAACTATTAAGGAGAAGTGCTGTTACGTCGCTCTGAACCCGTCCAAGGAGGAAAAGGACGCACTAGGCCGCACAGAAGAGTTTCGGTTACCTGATGGTAACGTAGTGCAAGTACGTCCCAATTTTTCGGCCTTGTCAGTTTGTTGATTGACGTCCTGCCAGCTCGGTCCGGAACGTTTCAGAGCTCCGGAGATCCTCTTCAATCCCGAACTGATCGGACAGGAGTATGCTGGTGTCCACCAGGTAGTTGTAGACTCCATAAATCGAGTTGACCTAGATCTCCGGAAGAGTCTATTCTCGAATATCGTCCTTAGTGGAGGCAGCACACTATGTAGAGGTGCGTGGCTTTCTAACTTCACTCACTCTGACTTCTAACGTGTCGCAGGTTTCGGTGATCGTCTCTTAAACGAAGTCAAGAAACTGGCGCTAAAGGACGTCAAAATCAAGATTTACGCCCCTCCTGAGCGTAAATACTCAACCTGGATCGGTGGATCCATCTTAGCGGGTCTCAGCACATTTAAAAAGGTAAGTCTACGTCTGTCGGTCTTCGCATCGCCCTTACTTAGTTGTATGGAAGATGTGGGTTTCGGCGGAAGAGTATCAAGAGGATCCAGACATAATCCACAAGAAGTCAGGCTTTTAGGGATTCGGGCCACATGGCATAGCATACGTTCATACCGACTAATCATTTCGTTCATTCTTATGAGATACCCACTTCGAATAGCCACTAATCATACTTGCTGGGATCAACCAGAAACTCTTGACGCCCGTGCAGCTGAGCCAATGCATGTGCATGGTATTCATGAGGAAAAGGAATGGAACAGAGCATACAGCATACGATACACCACCATGCGATGGGACGACGTCCAAAGCAAAAAGGAAACGGACCCAGACCAGCACCGCAACACCATTACTTGCCCTTCTTGGGGGGCTCGGCAGCCTTGGTCTTTTGAGTGCCACGAACCTGCAAAGATATCGTGAGCACAGGCTCCATAGCATGAGCGCTATATGCCCACCTTCTTGGCCCTGTTCTTCCTCTCTTTCCGTAGCTTGCGACCAGCCTTGTCAACCTTCTGCGCCAGCCCTTGCTGTATATGCAGTTAGTCGCAGAACATCGATCAAGGCGTGGACCACGTACTCGGACTAACCGATACTTGGGCTCGAACTTCTTCTGTGACGCCTCATCGTCGTAGATTAAGGCGAACCCGGTACTCCGTCCACCACCAAAGTGTGTCCTGAAACCGAAGCAAACTACCCGGTCCTTCTCGGTCTTGTAAGCCTTGGCCAGCTTATCCTGGAGCTCAGCCTTGGAGACATTGGCCCGTGAAGGATGTAACACGTCAACGACGAACTGACGGCGGGCAAGCAGGCGGTTGGTAATGAACTTGCGAGTGCGGAGGGTAACGGGAGCTGAGTCGTCGGCCTGATAAAATCGCAGATCAGTACGACATGCGACAAGTCGGTACATCCAAACTTCAGAACACCCATCCACCCCCCTAATCACTGTATTCCTACCATTCCACCGGACAACTCGTCCACCACACCAGCAAGGAGCCTGAAAAGGGATTCACTCACCATGGTTGCTAGGTCTTGCCTTGCTTTTGCGCCTGCTGCCCAGGGCTTGTCTTGTATGCGGACGTGAACGGTGAACCGGGGCTCCTGCTTCGCCGGCAACGTCCGCCCGGGTTCGGTAAAGGCCGGCCCGTCGTTGGCAAGTTCGATTGGGTCATACGCAGCTGGTCATCATCCTGGGTCGAGTCTATCAGGTCCTAGTAATATTCTTCTCCAAGTACTCTTGCTGTCCGCTGCTTTGTCTACGGGTCCTGCGCAAATGAGTTCGTCCAATTTTGCTTCCTTCGCCCCATATGTGAGCTTCAGCCTTCTCTCACGGTTCCCCTGTTGAAACAGTGGTCCATAGACCCCTCCGCCAGATGACCCTGCCCACTCAAATCGGTCGTCTACGTTGTCCGGCTCTCTTTCGAAAGGCATAGTTCGACCATGGTTCCCCGCTTCACCGGGATCGCAACACAGCATTCCGTCGTATCAGTCAGGAGGCATCCCCACATTCGGTACATCGGCCGCTGGAGGAGCTGCTACGGCAGAGGAAGTAGAAAGCCAGCAAAATCAATGGGAGACAAGATTTGGCATGAGGGTAGATATGCTGGCTGCGTTCGCGTATCTGCTGGGCCCCCTCTCTGGTACCAAATCCTACTCTTCCTTTGAAGTCTTCGAATGCTCATAGTGCTCGTACTAGCTCTTGCATTACTTGTATTGGAGACGCAGAACGACTACGTCCGGTTCCACGGTAAGCCCAGCAGCCTCAGCAGTCCCCCTTGATCTTATTGCCGACTACTGTAGCATACCAGTCCGCTCTATTAACGACACCACTCCTTGTGATCAGAATGCTGTTGTCACTATTAGGTTTTCCAATCTTCATGCGGACGATCCTGACTATCCTAATATTATGCTCTCAATTACTCATGGCGTACGTACTGATGTTACTTGATTGGGATCCGCAGAGAACTGATCATTGGCCCAGTTTTCGTGCATATCGAGACGCTGCGCAAAACGGTCTTGTCAGGTATCACCTGCCTTACATTGGGCCCATTGCAGACGACTGGGTGCAGGGCGAGTAGCGTCGCTAGGAGCACTGTTCGTCCCTGGCGTCGCCTTAGTTGTATCTATCACCATCCATCTTTCTGTAGACACTGTTTGGGGGTATCGAAGACCATTTGAAGAATCCCAGGGAATATCAATGTCATGGCTACGAAGTACCGCGCACGTCGTAGGAAATTCAAGCGAGTCCAATTGTCATACAAAGAATGGTGCTATAGATACATATGTGCGTGCCAGCGCGGATTATAATACAAGGCGTCGAAGTCGTTCACGGGTCCGTCAGGTGTTAAACGCAGCTCCTGTCTCTATGGAAAATTCTTATATGCAAAGACCCGCCAGATCAACTCCTGTCGAACACATCGTATCTGTTGCTTGTCCCAGTAGATCTTGGAGGAGTGGCTGAATGGCGTTGATTATGGCATCCGTGAGGTTCTCAGTAGCATCCAGAACGGCGTCAACCAGACATTTGACCTCGTAGACGACTAAGAGCAAGACAATCAGTTACTGTAGACAGGTATACAAACACAACGTACTCGGACCGAGAACAGGGCCGAGGCTGGGGATGTTGTAGACCAGGACCGTGACACCTTGCAAGGTATCCTTGTTGAGGTTGACCACGTCCTTCAATGAAGTCTCCAAGTCGTTTTGTCGATCATAATTCGCCAAGCCCTTGTCCAAGCCTTTGTCACTCGCGATACGCGCGAGCACAGTGTAGTAGCCTTGCATATTCGTGTGGAACGACGTAAGCTCGGAAGCACACTGCCGTTGAAAGGTGCCATCGTCCTCGGACCGTGAAGCGGACTGAGCAGCGTATTTGCCTGTTTCACCGGTATCAGCCGGTGAGAGGATGTAAACCACAAGACAACGCACGAAGGTTCTCCGAGTTGCCCTGGGCAGCCAGATAGTAGTTGTTCAGAAGGTTCAAGTCGCCGAGGACATTGACGACATTGACATCCCGAGCCTCAGGGGAAGCAGCGTGGCTAGGAAGTGGCGCTGTCTGGAGAGCCCTTTCGAGCTCAGTGTGAGTGCTCTCCTGGATAGTTGTCGTCCGTCGAATGCGGTACGTCTTGACAGTGCCGACACGGGAGGGGACATCCTGCTGGCGATAGTCGGCGGCGCGAAGCAATGGGAAAGGCATTGGGGTGGCAACAGCATGGAGTACAAGCGCGGGCAGCGCGACCAGGAGGATCCGGGCGAGAGAAGGCATTGTGCAGACAGGCACGGCAAAGTGGAGATCGACTTAAGACTATGAGCGACTAGCGCCTGGCGATAATAAGATAGACAGAGAAATTAAAGAAAAACAGTAGAGTAGGAGAACGTAGTGATGGAAGAGGGGAACGCAGGAGGCGGGCTCTGCCCGACTTTTATACTCTTGCGCGACATGTCGAACTTAACTTCCTTCACGTCGCATCGCGATCCTGATTGGCCGCCCCCTGACAGGGAAGACGCGCCCGTGTCACGTGATCCCACAGGACGTGCACGGACCAACGACTGCGGAGCGTCGCTCGCCACAAATTCAATGCGTCTAATCGCGTCTACTGCGCACAAGTACCCACTGGTATATATGCTGCGCAGTCGCAGTTACTCAGACGCATATGGATTTGCATGGTACATGCAACACAATCTCCCTAACGAAAACAAGCAAAACCACAACATCCCAAGTGTATGCAGGCGGCAGTCTGTAAGGTAACCGGATTCAGGTATATAACGGGATGATTTGGTTGACGGACAAACAGAGGTCCTTGAAGAACTCGAGCAAATGCTGACCTGACAGCGAATGTCCAATCGTCGGCGAGCCAGGCGACTTCACCCCAGCACCGAGCGATATAAAAGAATGACTAGAGAAGAGACGGAGTTTGAGAAAAGATAGGACGACTAGTTAACCAGTCATATGTGAAGTCGACGTGTTTATGGTGTGTGATTATTCCGCATTCTTTGTGTATGGCATGCAGCCTATAGGGCAATGCACGACTTGCCGTCGAGGCCGAGTTTGTACCCTGCCGCGCAAGAGTACACTGAAGCCATTTATTAGTGATAGCTCACCAGTCTAAGCAGTCAGGACCACTCACCGACGCAGGAACCCTTGTTGCATCCGACGTTCCAAACACCCTCGATCGCAGTGCAGTCTTGGCCCTTGCCGAGCGAGCTGCAGCCACCGCACGATTCCAGCTCCGAAGTCGTGTCGAGGCACTCGTAGTCCATACTGCTGTTCTGACCGCGGAGGCCATTGACCGGGCACGCCTCAAGACCAGAGGGGCACAGCGACGCGGAGCGCGACTTGTGGCTCGCACGCTTGTGGTAGTGACCGGACGGCTGGGGGTTGCTGGGACTGCGACCACACAACCAGTTCAACCAGGACCATCCAGCAGGGCAAGACGGAGTCGGGGGCGTAGGGTGCTGGGGAACGCAGCACTTGTGTTCTGTGTGCCAGTACCACCCATTCGGGGGGCAAGTAGAGCCGCTTGGCGGGCTAGGAGGCTTGGGCTGACCACCGTGCGGTAAACAGCATTTCTTCGGCTCCCACCTTTATTATTTATCAAGGCACGTCAGATGCATGTTTTTTGACACCAACAGCAGGGACATACCAGAATTGGGAAGACCCGCAAGAGTTGCTGGGACTGGGTGTGGGATTACTGGGCTTGCTCGGTGCGGTGGGAGTGGTGGACCGAGAGCACATCCAGTTGGACCATGACCATCCAGCAGGGCAAGAGGGGGTCGGGGCAGCAGGGTGCTTAGGGACGCAGCAGCTCTTCTCCTCGTGCCAGTACCAGTCGTTGGAAGCACAGCTGGTGCCGCTAGGCGGGCTAGGCGGAGTGGAGTGACCACCCTGGGGTAAGCAGCACTTCTTCGGCTCCCACCTGCATGCAACATGGATGAGTACGATGCGTACTAGGCTAACTCGAAGGACGTACCAGAACTCGGAAGACCCACAAGAAGTCGCTGCAGCGAAGGGGAGGGCAACAGCCGCAAGGGCGAAGATAGACGCAAGACGAGGCATGCCAAACGAACGTGGATGTCACAGGGGACGATTAGAAGGGACTAAGGGAAGCGCAAGAGCTAACTGAAAACAGGACGGCCTAGTGTGAACCTTTTATACTGCATGGCGGCGGCATCCGTGTCAAACACAAGAGTATGTTGCCTGAACTCCCCTTGTGGGAATGTTTTCCCGGGATTCGTGAGCCAGTCTACTGATCTCCCACTTACAGGAGCTTCTGATCAAATCAAACTACCGCTCTTTCTGGAAGTGGAATAGAGTGGAATCCGCCTGGAAATTGTTCATCAGGTGATATCCACATGCATCGGCCCTCTCTGACAAAGATCATGCTCTTTACCAGCCAAATATCACTGCGGGACGTCTACAGTCATGGTGGTAGGGGCTGAGGCTTGGCGTCCGTGCTGGCGGTAGTGAAGGTGGCCTGTCGGACCCGGTAACTATACATCCTGCGGCGGCGAGCCCGAAGCCGCCTCTTGCTGCCGACTATGGCAATATGGTCCGGCTTCGGCTTCTGGCCTAGATCAGGATCATCAGTTGTCGCCTCGTACTCCTAGGCCACCAGTCGCTCGTCACTTTTGTCCCCTAGCGGAATATTGTCCGGCTCGATGAATACTCGTGTGTAGCCTACTGTGTCGGAGGCTTCAAGTAAGCCGAACCGGAGAGGGACAAGGTGAGAGGGAATATCAACTGTACAATCGACCGTATTTACAGTCCACTATAACCGGGCCAAGGAATGTACATTATGCTTTCGTATCCCATTTCTCATTACAGCGATCCGTGTGTAAGGTGTACAGAGCTATCGGATGGGTTGTTGACCTAACTAACCTCAAATTAGTCAAGATCGTAATATGCGGGAGAGGCTCCGCGGGGACGCTTCAGCGTAAGCTGGTCTCACCTCACCCTTCCATGGCTGTCAATGTCTTTTGTAGAGCCCGAGTAGCGAAATACCGGACATCGGCATCCTGATCCTGCTTCATCTGTTCCAGCAGGGGTACTATCCGCTGCTGACACAGCTCCTTGCCGCCCGGAGCATTGCCATATGACGTAGCCAGGACCTCCAGCGCTTTAGCAACATTGAATCGGATGTTTGGTATGGGGTCTGTGGCCAGAGCGAGAAGGGGAGCAAGGATATCACTTCGGATGATGTCGAGATTCAGCGAAGGCGCCATGGACTATAGTTGGATAGACATCAATATTCAGCCGACTGAGCTCAGAAAGGCTACACGCACAGAGATAGCTTGGATAGTCGTTAATCGATAGAGGTAGTTGGGATGTTGTCCCATCGCTACCACCTTGGGGACAATGACGACCTTAGCCCACTCGACGCCGAATACGTCTGTTAGCTTCTTCAGGTTGACCGTCGCAGCCTCCCGGATGCTATAGACAGTGTCTCCGAGCCATTCCATGCAAAGGTTACCCAACGATTCGTCGAAGAAGGGCTTCCCAAGTTGGGTTGCGAGCAGTGGGATATATTCGATGATGGCTTGTCGCACCCGCCACGACTTGTCCTCTGCAAGTTCGACTATCGCAGGCAGCAGGCTCTCCGATAGCAGCTCAATGCCAATGACTGTTGAATTTAGTTGATGAACACTTCGATCGTCAGGACAGAATGCACATACCAGAGTTGACTGTTTCGAGCTTGCTAATAATGTTGAGTCTAACCTCGGGAAATTCATCCTTCAACAAAGTCAGGAACAATGGCAACAGATGTTCTATCGTAGCGTCTTTGCCCAGAAGAGGAGCCAGTCCGCTGATTTGGTTCGCGAGCGCAGCGCGCACGTGCTGCGAGCTGTCCTTTGCCAACTCTCTAACGCAAGGAACTATCCGCGCCAAAATGACCTCCCTGTCCAAGAGCTTGGCGAATCCTACGCGAAGTGTTTATGAGATGAGTCTATCTGTAGAGCATATATGTCGGTCAATTCAAGAATACACTGACCAGGTATCTGACCAGACCCCGCCGTCCGAACTTCAGCCTCGTTGTCTTTCAAAAGTTGGACATAATGGCCAATCAACTCTTCCCGAACGAGCTCCTGCCCGACGGCCTCCGCTAGCTAATGCCGTAATCAGATAGAGCGAAATCGGACCTTCACAAGCTCTAACCTCATTGAAATGATTTGCCGCCATATATCTAACTCTCCAGCTCTTGTCTGAGACTGTTTGCCTGATCTGCTTCAATAACTGCTCCTTGACTTCCGCGGGAGTTAGCTGCTGGGCTATGACGATCAGATCCTCCACCGTTAGTAACCGGACTGAGTCCTGATCGTCTGACTGCAATCTGCGATAGATTGGCAGCCCGTCGCTAAGGACATGCTGCTTCGAGAGCTTTTTCACAAAAGCCTGGTATGAGGATACTCAGATAAACCGCGCGAGCAAGTGAAGCGTGAAACGTGTTCACTTACACCAAGCCACTTGGCAGCAGCGCGTCGCACCATCGGCGTATCATCGGACCCTAGGGCAGCAAATCCCTTGCGTAGTTCCTCCTGGATCGGCGGAGAGACTTGGGAGTAAACAGGAGCAAAGAGTGCCGCAGAAGATGTGCGTGAAGTAAACCACTCTCCGCGAGATAGACGTCGCAAAAGGGGTATATAATATGTCTCTATCTGAGCTGGTGACAAGACAGCCGCGACTTTCGTGATAGATTCCGCCGCCTATCCAAAGAAAGCAGTTAGCCAAACGCGCTCACTTAGGGCAACGCCATTGCTGATTCAACACCCGAGATGTATGCGTCTCCGAAATCGTTCGTACCTTGTCTCGGACGAGCGTCTCCTCAACCGCGGCCAGGTTCTCCAGGGGTCCTAATAAGACATGCGCGTACTCCGGCCCGCCCAAGTACTCCTCGAAGTTTCTGCCCAATTCTTCCGCCAGAGCGAGAAGGACTTCGTCCTCGTCATCTACCGACTCTTGCAGAAAGGGAATGAGCTCGTCCCGAGCCCGTTCAGGACCCAGAGCAAGAGCGATGGTCGACACGCGATGGATGGCGTTCAACCGTAACTGGACATCCTCCGCTCGCAACTCGTCCATGAGAATGGCTATGGGAGCGATCTATAAGAAAGCATAAGCAGGATGATAGATATGGAGGGTAAAGAGCCAACATCATCGGGAGGGAATCCTGAATCCATCTTGTCGAACTACGGGGGCTCTAACTGTCTTGCGCGAGGAGATTGGGGAACGATGTGCCGTGAAACCTGGAAGCTCGGGATAAACAGCGCGCTCGATAATGCGGAGCGAGTCGTACAAATAAAAGGTAATGCTGTGGCAGACTGGAGATTGCAAGTTTCTTTCCAAATCGTGCAATGTGTAGGCGGTTATCGCTATTCTGCGACGCGACACCAACTGCTCCTTTCACACGCTTCCAATATACTCTGATCGATACACGCTCCTTTTCGTGCCACATCCTTCGGTGCTGGCGGCAGTTGGAAACGCATTATCACACAACTTCAGAATACGACAAAACACCAGATATATTATGGCGACTGCTGGGTACAAACGGCCTCTCGTGTGTACACATATAGGACATCCGGCGCACGGAAAGGATTTACACGCACCTTAAGCTTGTCAATGGAATACAGCCAGACGGGAAGGCAAAATCCTCTCCGAAGAGAAGAGGAGAAACAAAAAATTAGGCGGAAAACAACAACTGCCCTAGGACAAGCTGTTGACGTTGCGCGACCCGAAGGTACGTGCAAGCCACGCTGCAGGATCTCGGAGATCACTGCTGACAACGTCTTTCGACGACGCCGGCAAAGCTCATGGGGTAATGTATCAATGCATATAGCAGTGCGTGTGGGTGTCATGCTTTGGTCACGAATCAAGTGTGCGTAAGTGGGTGTTTCTTTCCCAATCATTGAATCAACGGATGTGAAGTCTGGACGTGCCACGAAAAGAACGGTATTGTCCAAAGAGAATTTTCGACGTGTGCCTCGGTAGATCGACTGGACGAAACGCCGGGGCGCACAAAGGTGCACCAAGACCACCGAAGATTGCGTCGGCGAGCACTGCCAAGCAACCTCGTATGGACGGCTCGACGTTCGGCCAGGTCGATAATATTTGTGCGTCTCGATAAACGTGTGACCCGTATCTCGTTATGCGTGCGTATCCTATAGCATGGGCATCATGAAGAGGTGGTATGGTAAAACTCGTGACGCTCGACGAAGAACCAGAGCAAGGCCAAGCCGCACACAGTGTACGGAGACACCGATAGTAAATCCCGGGAGGATCACCTCGTATGTCCGCCTGCAAAACCCGCACTGGCCCTATAGTACGCGGTGTTTTGATAGTGCAACGTAGGGCAATCAACTGATTTCTGGTTCCTTTGGGTGTGCATTTCCAGTCCGTATATGTGTCGATCGTTGTGAGCTTTAACCACGAAACTATTCGGTAGGCACGCAAACATAGCAAGACACTGTCCCAGTATCATGTCAAGAAGAGGAGTGGTAAACTTCGACGTTGTGACGACCGAGTGTGCGCTGGATCTGTGACCTGGTCATTCGCGACAAGCATGAAGCAATGCCATGCCGGGAGGCCAACACCAAACTGGCCAAGTGGCGTCCATCATGCGGCAGTCATCGACTGATCGCTCGGGACCATCTCTGCTTGGACGACTCTTTGCCTTCGATGGCCGAAGCTCCGGAAGCCGAGCGACACCTGTGGCGGTTAGTGATGGCACGCGTGAAGATAGAAAGCCCATGCTTGCCGTCATGACCATCGCCGCACCACTGGGGCACGGAGGACACCGATAGCGCAAGGCCTCGTATGTCCAAGCTTCGATGGTCAACGGTGATAGTCGTCTGCGTGCACAGACGCCACCCAACATGCGAGGCATGCTTGGGACCATAGAGCTGCTTTCGTCGAGCATGTCCACCGCGGTGTCGCCAGGAGGTCCTCGGGGCAGAGTCGAGTCAAGGGATGTGAGTCGTAACTGCGCGTCAGGACGGGGCTTATATCGTGATCCGGGCGGCCGGATCTTCAGCGGCCCACGCCGGCGTCAGGCCGGTTTCTTGTTACGTAAATGACTTCTGGTCCTTGCTAAAACCCTTGGGCCACATCGTCAACGACGCTTTGTGCGATGATGCTGTACGGTAGTTATTGGGTAGTTACATGCAACCTCAGGTTGGATACGCTGAGCAGAGATCGTGCTTTACCAAACTTTATGTCAAGCCATCGAAATAAACATCCCGACTTGGGGAATGTTCAGACGGAATTATCCACGGGGGATCACCAAGGGTTGACGACGTCATCATTGATGAACTCCACGCTCAAGTGCATGGACTAAGCTTACACTGGTCGACAAACCTCTGCTTGAAACTCGCGACCGTTCCTGCCCCCAAATAACCCCCAGCAAAGCCATGCCAGTTCAACAAACGAACGGAAGAGTTATCCTCACTCACCCGAAGGTGCGTTGCGCACAGGCTAGACATAGGATTCCTCGATGATAACAGTCTACTGCAGGGCGCGTCTGCGGAGATCCTCCTGTACGGGGCAACCGTGATATCTTGGAAATCTGGTAGTAAAGCCAATAGTACACCCGTCGAGCGTCTATTCGTCTCCTCAAAAGCGGCGCTCGACGGATCCAAGCCTGTCCGAGGTGGTATCCCGGTCGTGTTCCCTAACTTCGGTGCTCCGACGCATCCTGAGCACGCGAAGCTGAGCCAACATGGGTTTGCCCGAAGTGCGGTTTGGAATTTTGACAGCGTCGTGATGGATAACGAGGCCGGCGTGTCTGTGAGACTAAGTGAGTGGTACATACTTTGGATCTTGGGGCAGTGTTAATCTTCGAGTACCAGCCCTGACTCCGACCCCGGATATCATGGTCAAGTACCTCAGGCCATTCCATCTGGCTTATGTCGTCACCCTGGCAGAGCATCAACTGAGCACGGACCTTCACGTAAAGAATACGTCCCAGACAACCTCCACTCCTCCCGACGCCCTTGAGTTCCAGGCGCTTCTCCATACCTATATCCGTGCGCCAGCCAACGATGTCTTGATTTTCCCTCTTCAGGGCAAGAAGTACTACGACAAAACAGAGCCGACTGAACAGGCCAGAAACCAGCCCAAGGAAGAAACCCGAGCCGGAGTGGATGTAAAAGCCTTTACAGATTCAGTATACGAAGACGTTGCTGGAAAGTACGAGGTAACTTGGCCCGGAGGAAGTATCGAAGTTAAAGCCAAGAACTTCAAGGACGTCGTGGTGTGGAATCCATCAGCGGAGGCTGGCAGTAAGCTCGCAGATATGGAAGATGGAGGATGGTATGTGGCTCGTCTGGATAATATGGAGCTATACTGACTATATATGCAGGGAGAGATTTGTCTGCGTTGAACCCGGATATGTGCGCGGGTTTGCTAGAGTGAATCCAGGAGAGACATGGGTTGGACAGCAAGTGTTGACTGTGCTGCACGAAGAGCGCGCGCAAGGTCAATTGTAACAGGGAAGAGCGCTAACAGGAACGGACGCATGTAAGAGTACAGTAGTGTAAAGAGCAAAGGGTTGTGGCTTTGCGTAGTTTAACTTTGGTTGTTGTGACAAGCCACGGCACGTGACTTCATACATGTGACGGTCATGTCCGAGTCAAGGTGCCCAGACGCGACTGACTCTTGACTGCACGTCCCCGATGCTCCTATCTTGTGCGCATCATCTCTGCATGTAACTACTATGTCTACTGAGAGGAAGGAAGCGTCACTTCGTGTACGAATAAATCACGTTGATTATACTCTTGTGCATCCTGGCATCCTGGACAATGCGTCGCTCCCCCGTGTACCTGTTATTCGAATCTATGGCGACTCTTCCTTGGGTCAGAAGGCTTGTTTGCATATTCATCAAGTGTATCCCTACTTCTTTGTCGAGTACCGTGGCAAGCTACATCCCGAGAGTGGTGAGCGTGCTCCTACTGGCTACGAACCGGGCGGAGCTCATCGCTCGTGATGTAGTCCACCGCTACATCGCCAGACTCAGTCTATCGCTCAACCATGCTATTGCCGTCTCAATGAAGCGAAATCCCCATTCCCTAAACTCCCAATTCATAAGGGCAATAATCCTCGTCAAAGGTGTCCACTTCTACGGGTTCCACGACACCTACTCGCCCTTCCTCAAGGTTCACATCACAGACCCGGCTTTCGTCAACCGTGCCGTCACTATCTTACAATCAGGGGTCGTCATGCAGACTCATTTTCGCGTCTTCGAAAGCCATCTCAGCTACGTATTACAGTTTCTGTGTGACTTCGGCTTGTATGGGTGTGGATGGGTTGAATTGGATGAAATCTTGCAGCGCACGAAGAACTCCGTCATAGACGTAGATGAGGAAGGAGAGGAAGGGGATGCACTTCCATTCCCCGAATCACCGTACCCCCGCCAGTCGCGTATGCCATTTGAATTCGATGCTGCCGCACATCAAATTTTGAATAGGCACTCCCTAAGTGCCCGCGACATCCATCACGAACTCCGGATACCAGCACCGCCGCTCCCGCCAGAACCCCTAGTAATCAGTGTACGTGAGCTGTGGGAGGATGAACGCCGGCGGCGGGCGGCGAAGGGTTTACCTGCCACCCCTTCGATTCCGCTCGACCCTAGCGAATCTTCGCGGGACCTTGGTGCGGGTTGGGTTGCCGAAGCTCGATACTGGGAAGAGGTGAGAAAACGAATTGAAAAGGAGCGTGGACGAGAAGCAAAACCCAGGGATCCCAGCTGGGCGAGATGGGTTATGTCCACCTTTGAAAGTATCGAGGCATTATGGGAGCCGCATTTCAGAACATGGAAGCCACGAAAGGACACTGGTAATCAGGCACAAGGTCGGAAAGTCGAGGACCAGCAAGACGAGGAACTCGAAAACCCATATGAACCAGTTGCCCACTCGCAACCGAGCGCGTCTAGTAGTACCGAAGAATCCAACATAGAAGTGGACGAAATGATGCTTTCAAGTCAAGAGATGCGCTTGTTGACGGACCAAGAAACGGAAGGCTGGAGACCGCCTGACGAAGAACAGGGCACATCTAGCGAAGAAGAGGACTTCCCGCCGGAAGATGAAGATCCTTCCCCACCCCAAGACGCAACCCCGCCGCAGGAAATGCAGGATGCAGTCCAGGTCTCGGATGTGGAAAGGCAAGCCCTCCAGGAATGGCTCTGCTATGCTCGTACTGATGAACTCGGAACCTGTTAAGTTTACCAAAGACCCCTACAAAGCTGCCGAGGACGCCTACCAAAGCGCGAGTAACGCGCGAGGATGGTTTCCAAGTTGCATGGCGGAAATTGATCGGGTTGGTATATTGCTGATCTCAGCTACAAAGGCTTTCTTATCTCGCCTAGACGTGGCGCCACGCGCATGGAGGCCCCTCGACTCCCCAACATGTTCATGACACCGAGAAAGTAAGCTCCTGGATCGCAGCACAACACCATCGCATACTGACTGTATTGCAGATCAAGGGTATCAACTCCTATGCCTGCACATTCAACCCCCGATATGAACCAGGAACCGTAAGGGTGCCCTTCTATGGCATCAGATCACATGTAGTTAATAAGGTCTACGATCCCCAGCGCTCCATATTCTGCGCTTACTGACTCCATACTTCGCAACGACGATAATCACGATTCCAATGCGGTTTCTACGTCAGTGTTCTTCTCCTAGCTGATACTTACAGTTCAATGGACTGAGACGATCCGCCTGCGACTAGGGAACTGCCTACCCGCAGTCATCTTAATGCTGGTTCGCAGCGATCCCAAAGAGTCGCCTATGATCTTATTGATTGCAGCCATCCTGCACTGATTCCAGACGCCCGCTACTCGAGTGAGGGGCCGACTCCAGGCATACCCGTTTCGCCTTCCGAAGTCGATGATATGGAGGTCGAAAGACCGACCAAGAGGAGGAAGATTCAGCAAGAGCAACAAGCCGACTCAACCGTATCCAACAACTACCCATCTACCCGTTTGCCACCCTCACGACCGATACTCGCGAGTCAAACTAGACGATCCGATGGCACGCGGACACGATCAGTCTTTCTCTCCAAGAGTCAAGCTTACTCCTATAGCCGTCCTCCTCCTTCGGCGTCCACCTTACTATCCACATTGGACAACTACGGCCTTCCTGCCAAGATCTATAGAGATCCATATTATTCCAATGAAGCCGACGTCCCTGAGAAGCCAAGGGAATACGCTGGTCTGGTATATCATCTAAAGGGTGGGGAAGATGTGGCCAATCTGGAGGAATGGCAATGTGGATCTTCGTGCGACTATCCCGGATTGCAAAAATCGGATATGCCCCAATTTGACCGTATGGGTGTTGGGGGATGGGAGTACGCGAGTTCTCCACCTAGCAGACGGGAAGTCGAGAAGTGGTTGAGAACGACATCAGTGGGGCATCGGTCGGCGAGGAGAGGGCGCGTCTCAGAGGTAAAGTGTGCCCTCCCATGCACCGCTTGGCTAACCTGGGTGTTATGTCGCGTAGGCTGCTGGATCATCACAACATAATGTTACTAAGGCAAAGAAAGCTGTTAACAATGCAGCCGATGCAAACAGACGGGAGAGGCAAAATATGACTATTCTTTCTTTCGAGATATTGGGTAAGACCCTCTTCAAAAGATCCAGTCGATGAAAGCTGACCTCATTGTCGAGCCCTTTCTCGCGGGGACCTCGTCCCCGATGCAGACGTCGATGAGATCGTCGTCGCATTCTACTCTTTCCAAGGAGAGGACGAGGCAGCTGCCCCAACAACCGGATTCATCGCAGTGGAGGATGTCCAATTGGAACCGAAACGCCTCCGAGATGTGACAATAGATTTCGTGCCGAACGAACTCGAGCTATTGAATCGGGTCGTAGACCAGGTGTCTGAATATGACCCTGATATCCTTGTTGGCTGGGAAATACAAGCCTCGTCGTGGGGTTACTTAAATGTTCGCGGTCGTGCATATGGTAAGCAATTAATCTGTAGGATGTACAGGGTGATGACCCTTGGTGTCCATAGGTCTAGACATTACCGAACTACTCTCCCGCGCCCCGGCCAGACGTGCAGGAGGGGGCAACCATCAGTGGGGCCTAAGGACAACATCCACCTTTAGCGTCGTTGGCCGCCATGTTTTGAATCTTTGGCGGATCATGCGATCCGAGTATACCCTGGCAATTTACACCTTCGAGAACGTGGCTTTTAACGTGTTACACAAACGGTGCGCAGTCCCTGGTCGTTTGTGTAACGAAATACGATCATCAACTACACAGGATACCGCATTACGGCCATCGCGTCTTGACCTCCTGGTTCAGGAGTAATGTTCCAAACCACACAATGCAAGCTTTGCGACATATGTCAAACCGTACTCTCCTGAACCTGGAAATCCTAGATCGGGCTGAGTTCATCACCAAGACAGCGTGAGTGAAGGACGCACTGGGGCATACTTCATCTCACACTTCCATAGCGAATTTGCACGAATATTTGGGGTTGATTTCTTCTCCGTTATAAGCCGTGGATCGCAGTTCAAAGTCGAATCATTTATGTTTCGAATAGCCAAGCCTGAAAGTTTTGTATTAATATCACCGAGTAAACAAGATGTGAGTTCACTTGACTCTTCACACACGTCGGTACTCACATGCCGCTGTAGGTCGGCAAGCAAAATGCTGCAGAATGCATGCCACTGATCATGGAGCCTTTATCTGCGTTTTACAACAGCCCTCTTGTAGTTTTAGATTTCCAGTCACTGTATCCATCAATCATGATCGCGTACAATTATTGCTACTCCACTTGCCTCGGTCGCGTCGTGGACTTCAAAGGCCGCAACAAGTTCGGCGTGTCTGAACTCCATTTGCGCCCTGGCTTACTTGATACCCTAAAGGATCACATCCATAGTACGTTCCAAATCATGGATCTAGAATACTGACGGTACAATTACCATTCAGTTGCACCTAATGGAATGATGTATGTCAAGCCTGAAGTTCGCAAAGGACTCCTGGGCCGTATGCTCACGGAGCTACTGGAAACACGAGTCATGGTCAAGCAGGCCATGAAGAGCGCAAAGGACGATAAGGTGAGATCGGGTTATCGCAATTCAGACGGATGAGATACCATCAGTGCCTTGAAGATACTGCGAAGGGTGCTTGACGCCCGTCAACTTGCTCTCAAATTCATAGCCAATGTGACTTACGGCTACACGAGTGCGACATATTCTGGTAGGATGCCAGCGGTTGAGATCGCGGATAGTATAGTGCAGAGCGGACGAGAGACGCTAGAGAAGGTGTGCGGATACGTTCAGGTGCATGGAGGCCGTTTCTGACTGCAACATAGGCAATCCGAATAATTGATTCGACGAAGAAATGGGGCGCGAGGGTTGTGTATGGTGACACCGACTCCTTGTTCATATACCTCAGAGGCAAGACCAAGGAGCAAGCATTCCGGATCGGGCATGACATCGCCGATACGATAACCCGCGCGAATCCAGCGCCTGTCAAGTTGAAGTTTGAGAAAGTACGTGGTCTCATCTGTTGCAATATCACGGGCTAATGTTCGTAGGTATACCTTCCATGCGTTCTGATGGCCAAGAAGAGATACGTCGGCTTCAAGTACGAGAATCCTGATGACGTTGAACCCGTGTTTGACGCCAAGGGTATCGAGACGGTCCGCAGAGATGGAATTCCTGCCCAGCGAAAGATGACCGAGGACTGCTTGAGGTCTTTCCATTTCCGCTCCCCTCTCTTGACCCGAAAGACTGATATACTGCCCAGGATCCTCTTCCAAACGCAAGATCTGAGCAAGGTCAAAGAGTACTGCTGGCGAGCATGGTCCGATGTCCTGGAGAACAGGATATCTATACAGGATTTCATCTTCGCGAAGGAGGTGAAAATGGGGACCTACAGGTAAATATTTCACTGTTATTGTCATCTTATGCCTTCATTTATCTTGTGTCAAGTGAGAAAGCTCCGCCCCCTCCGGGAGTAACCGTGGCAGCAAGACGGATGATGGAAGACGAGGCTAACGAGCCCCAGTATGGGGAACGTGTCCGATATGTTATTGTCAAAGGGGGTCCGCATTCCAGGCTTGTAGACCGAGCCGTCGCGCCTGAGGAGCTTCTGGATCAACGGTGAGATGTCCCGTGGTCGTATTCCTTGAATTTTTCTGACACCTCTCTCCCTACAGGCATAAGCGATTGGATGCCAACTATTACATATCTAACGTGCTGATCCCTCCACTGGAACGTATCTTCAATCTCGTCGGCGCTGATGTTCGCAGCTGGTACGACGAGATGCCAAAGGCTATCAAAGTTGACCCCATCGACCCTTTAATGCTGTCACCGAAGAAGAGGAGAGATGCAACTCTGAATAGGCTGAAGATCGAGGAACATTTCCAGAATTCGGACTGTATCGTCTGCGGAGCATCGACTTCCGCCGGTGAGCTGGTTGCTGCTCCTTTCAAATTTTCACAATGACCTGATTATACCATGCCCACAGGTCTCTGCGAGGACTGCGTGATAGATCCGCAACCGACAATCACCTCTCTCCTGTCACAGGTCAGGGCAGCCGAGCGGCGACTGAAGGATGCACATGAAGTTTGCAGTTCTTGTGCCCTGTCACCTCGAGGAGAGCCCATTCTGTGCGATTCTTTGGATTGCTCGTGGTTGTTCGAGAGGAAGTCAGCTGAAGAGAAAGCAGAAGCAGTTGCTATTTTGGAGGACTTTATTGAAGAGATGGAGGAGCTGCATGTGTAGATGTCACAATGCGTGCAGCCTCATCTGGACTTTGCACGGGTGACAGTCGATGACTATCTCGGGACTGTCCGGAGCCCATCCATACAGCAAAGAAAATACAGAGTGAAAGACAGAATTACACAGATTGGTATGCCCCAGGGGCACTCTGGTTCTGGCCGTTATTCGCCGGTACAGGAGGTTGGGGCTTATTGACAGAAGCATCATCGACGGACTCATACCCATCTCGTGCACCCCCACTCAGAGAAGTGAATCCGCCAGGCATGGACCACACTGTAGAACATGAGCTTCCCAAACAACGGCGCAGCAACTTCTATTACTTACCTGTGTTGCCATTGAAGTTGTTGCCCAGTCCGGAGAACTGTGCGCCTCGCTGCCGCAAAGCGGCCCCAAATGCAACAAAGGTGGGGAGCTGCATATACGTATGAGGACCCGGATGGTATGACATTTAGAGTGATGACGGACCTTGAGCAGCATGATCAGAAACACGAGAAGCTTGGACCACCAGCGAGCTTCCCCATTAGAGAAAAGGAAGATAAGGTCAAATAAAGCCGATACTCCAATGAAGCCCGTGACCTAAGGACGTGAGCGCTGGAGTAAGAACGGGGAGGAGCATGAGACGTACTGCTTTCATGGACTGGGTAGCTTCACTCTGCTCCTGTGCGTATATCCCAAAGAGGAAGATGGGGAGGTTGTAGGAGGGGGATGTGAAAGGAGCTATAACAAAGGACATAACCTGGCATTGCATTGGGACTGTAAGATATGTCAAGTAGGGGAGTTGGGGACATACCGCGCCAGCAAGGACCAGCTTAGACGGATCAAGACCTTGGATAAAGTCAGCCATTTTTGCAGGTCAAGTCGGGTGTCGACTTGGGAGACTTGGGAGACTTGGCACACTCTGAGGCCTGCTAGTGCTTCGCAGGACAGCTGTGCAAGTCGCGGGTGCACAGCCACAAGCCACAACCCGTGTCGATCACCGGCCCTGTACGGCAAACGCTTCAGAGACAATTCCGCGTCCCGGCTTTGGAACATATGCGACCGCCTATCGACACCGATTACCCTGCAGTCTCGGCAGAGTTTTGCCCTGCTCTGGGCTTTCGGAATGTGTTAGCTTGTGGCACGTATAGATTAGTCCAAACCTCAGAAGAACCTGGCTCCGAGTTGAAGCAGTCTGCATCCGAAAGTACTTCCGGACGGTCAAAACAGACCAGAGTTGGCAGATGCCTCATTTATAAAGTGCACACAGAAGGTGGCGAAGATGAATTGCTGTAAGTGAGCAGCTACAGGTCAGAAGGAAACGGGAATGAAAGAACCCCAGCGAACAGGTGCAGGACATAGAAATGCCTGGCATCCTGGATATGAAATGGTAGCACGGATATTCTCTTCATTAAAGACCATGCTCAAAGCATCAGGTGTCATCAACCAGAGGACTCCGCTGCTGTCCTCGGCATAGCTGATGCCGACGGATTCATCAGTCTACATCAATGGAATTTAGATGAAGTATGCATTCCTTGCGGTTGTCCATAAGTAGCAGCTGAATTATGGTCTGGTAGGGGCACTTGAATAAGCTGCACTCCACTTCGCTAGGAGAGTCCGATGCGCTCTGCCTATCTCTGGATTGGTCGAACCGTTGCTTCCCCTCACGGTCTGCTCTCCTACTTTCTCCGTATGCCTGCGCATTCACTCTAGTTCAGCGATTTAGGCTCTGTAGTGGTCTCCTTGTCCGACGGCACCCTCTCCATCCTCAAACCGGAGAATTCAACGGGCTTAGTGCAAGTCGAGTCATGGTCCGCACATGACTTCGAACCGTGGATAGCTGCTTGGAATTATTGGGATGACAACATTATATATTCAGGTATGAGTCGATGCTATACCGGGCGTTCAAGCCTTGCTACCGTACATCCCCAGGTGGCGACGACGCCAAGTTGAAGGGATGGGACATCAGACAAGGCTTCGAAAACTCTACGTTCGTGTACCAAAGGTAGGCTTTCATTAGCATTCTACCCTGGTAATCGTTTCATTGACCCAGCGCCCTTAGGTTCGACGCCGGAGTCACCGCAATCCAGAGTCACCCATACGTCGAGCACCTTTATGCAGTTGGGAGGTAAGCTGCCAAGATCACAGCCTACCGGCGCGCGTTTGCCGAATCCGAATATACAGCTACGACTCTACTATTCGTCTTTTCGACTCTCGTAAGCCCTTGCAACCCCTCCAGCGGGTAGACGTTGGGGGCGGGGTATGGCGAGTGAAGTGGCACCCATCTGCAGAGCGGAAACATGACCTGCTAGCTGCGTGTATGCACGATGGCTTCAAGGTCCTCCACTTCGAGGAAGGTTCAGAGAGTGGATTCGGGAGCGCAAGTATTTCGAAACGGTATGACGAGCATGGGTCGCTAGCCTATGGCGTGGATTGGTGTTACTCACAAGACGGGAGAAGCAAGGAAGGACAGAGTACTCTGATAGCCAGCTGCTCCTTCTACGACCATTCTTTACACCTTTGGAGGGGATGATAATACTGTAACAGTCTCTTTGTATCATAATCTAGTCTGTCCGTGTCCAAGACCTATTTTTCGTTTGTGGCGGGATCTGAGTCCTCAACCTGGTTTCCGCTGAGTTTTAATTGACGCTTACGTCTCCAGAGCGCCGCATTTGGCCCGTTCATCACGAACTCAAGCGTCCATCTGGACAGGCCGCGCAGAATATCCGGGCGATGGACTGCTGCAGTCAGCAGCGAAGCCAACGACAGTACGAACGCTAGCCTGGAATTGGATCAACACAGGAACACGACGAGTCCAGTGGGTCTAATGCCTACCTCTCTGCAATCATGGTACTCTTATTCCCGCTTCGAACCCATCCGTCCGGTAAGCACGACCGGACCGCTCTCGGAAGGACGTATAAAGCCATCTCGCCTCTCCTCCGCCCTTCCTCAATCCAAATGCTGGAACCACATGCCAGGCATCCGGCGAGTATGCATCCAAACGGACCATCCCAGAAGTTATGAGAGATGGAAGGGAATAATCGAGCTAGGAGCAGGGTGCGGGTAAGGCACACAGACATCCAGATCGACGACACGAATGCCGAGAGGAAGGTCGCCGAACGCATGGCTGATAGGAGACGCGGGATGATGCTTCGGATCTGCAGCATTGCAGAGGGCTGCCTGAGGACCATAGGGAGGAAATGGACCTGCAGGAGTAACAGACGAGTTAGGAACGAACAGTCCCGCCGCCCCCTGGACCATCACTCACAGGCAGGTAGATGAGTAAAGCCTCGACGAACGCTTTGGCGCCCCGCCGGGCTGAGTTTGCAGTACAGCTCTTCCTGTCCATACCTCCGTGAACTATCTCGCATGGCAGGCCGCCGACGCCATTCCTTCCCATGACGCCAAGCACCGCCCAAGTGTTGTTCGCTGACAGTCCGCCACGGGGCGGAAGCATAGCTGGGTTGCCCCATGAGCTGGGGACACCGATGTCTTGAGCCATGGAAGTCAGCAGCTCGGGATATTTGCCGCCACTGCCATACACCCAGTGGCCCGAGCGGATTGCACGCAAAGTTAGTACAAGGCGATTATCGATGTCTGCCAAGGAGGTGATCCTGGCAGAGCGTGTCTCAGGCCGTTCTCACGAGCATCGTATAAGGAGCAAGTACCATTTAACATATGATCTGGGGAGCCTAGACGTAGGAGGAATTTAGTATATGCGCGCGGTGAAGAGAGGTAGAGCACCTTTCTGGTTGATAGAAGAAGCACCACATTATCCTTCGGTACGATGACGCGATTCAGTGGACTTCGAACCTAGCCAGTAGCTCGAAAAACTGACCTCGCGCTGCATACCCAGAAAAGAAAGGCATCGGAATGCCTTGTTAACTTCCGCCGCCATTCCTTCGCGTCCTGGTCCTTCCCCTGAGATAGCCTGAGAGCGTATTTGGACAAACAAGCCTGGACGCCTGCATCCATTGCTCTGACAAATAGGAGCAAGGTGAGGTCCAATGTAGGCGAAGGCCTATTCGTTCTTGGAATACCCTCCGGAGAGCGGGTGAAGGGAGGAGTGAGAGGTATGGCAGCTTGGGGACCAGCCCTTCTCCTCGCTTGCAAGAGTATTAATGCAACCAGAGAAGTAAGAGAGTTACACAGGAAGGCTTTTCGAGCAGCAGTGAGATTACATGCATTCGAGATCCGTTGGAGGATACGCCCTGCGCGCGTTAAGAAGACGGATGACCAATCATGTCCAAGGGGCTCAGGGTCCGCCCGTGCCTCCAGTGCCTTCCATATATGCTGTAGGTACGCCCCTCCGCCTATTGCTGTGGTCATGGCAAAAGCAAAACCCGTGACTCCGAACTCCCTCTTCAATGCTCTCTTCAAGCCCTCAGGACCGCCAAGCTTGGCGCGCCCCCTGCCTGATATTATGAAAGGTAAAAGCACAGGTACCAGAGACAGCGACAGAGCAAGGCCATAGGTGCGGATTGATATCTGGAGGGGATGGTCATGCGGAAGCGAGAGCAGATACTCTTCGAGTGCGAAGACCGCGTTCGTCGCTGCACGTCGAATGCCAGTCGGCTTGCTCATCGTGCGCGGCGGGGAGACACAGGCCCTGGGACAGGGAAGCCAGGACGTCTAGTAGGCTCACAGAATACCAAGAATAGCAGAGCAGCGTTGCATACGGGGCATCGACATTCTCACTTGGATTTGGTGTGAGCAGTGAGAATCACATGGAGTTGGTCTGTGATGTGACCTAACCCTAGCCTCGCGTGCAAGTCACCTGACCGTGACGGCTTTGGTTCAAGTTCGACTCTTACTCCGAGTCCTATTTCGGCCTCCTCACGCGACGAGCTCACCTGTTGCTTGCAACGAAGCCCCTTTACTTTGGTATTATCGGACTGAAAGACTGCCAGGTTATATGGGATTCTGCCGTAGATGTGGTGATATAGTCTCTGGTCAGCGGTGTAAGTGCGGAGGTACAGCCGTAGGTACGTGCATTTGTGCTCTGTCCTGGTACAACTTGTGCATGAAGATCTGCAGCCGCGACCGTGCAATGGAATCAACTTGGAGCGAATGAGGATGATCGATGGTCTAAGACATACGTCGCCAAAGAGACGCCCCCCGTGCGTCCAGCTCCGCCGACGTCTACTATCCAGCCTACACACACCGGAGGCGGGTCCAGTCGTTTCCCGAAACCCAAGTCCAAATCGACAAGTGTACCATTAAGCTCGCGTGTAGCAGATCATATTGCGACGGCTACCACGTCAAGACCCCCTTCCCCACTCAAGCGCTCAACTACACTAGAGGATTCTCCTTCCTTTTCTGCGGCTGAGGAAGGCATTCTCCAGTGTCCCGACACTGGCGGACTGTCCAAGGCATACGGCTCGGTATTGCAGCCCAAGGAAACCTTGGCCCAATTTGCGTGTCATATCTGTTCTACACCGTTCCCACCAGATGCCACTATATACCCCGATCCTTCGTCTCCAACCATCGGTGCAGGCACTCGATTCTTGTGCCGCCCATGCTTCACGGTGAATGGCGGATCTAAAGGAGACTGCGCCGCATGCGGGCGTGCTGTCCTCATACTGAAAAGTGAAGGGGGCTTCGTCGAGAATTCTGGACGTCTCTGGCACAAGCGTTGCTTCCGCTGTGAGGGGTGTTTCAAGAATATCGGGGACAGACCTATGGTGGACCTACTGGGTCGTCCTTCGTGTGCTGACTGCTTTGACAGTTGTCTCAAGAGAGCCAACAAAGGCAGTCCGCAGAGGTTCCCTCGAGAATCTGATAGTCCTGGCGACAAGCGAAACAATCTGGGCGGTACATTTGGTGCAAAGAGTAGAGAGGGTAGCCCCGCTCTCGAGGAACTGGAGCAGAGATTAGGCATTCTAAGGAGTCGGGAGAGCAGTCCCGCGGTTGAAGAACGACCGAGGACGCAGAGCATCGGTGCTAAAAGTCCGTTATGCCGTGACTCGCCTGGTCTGCTCTCGTCGCGGTACTCGACCAGTATCCGAGAATGTAGTCCTCTCTTGGATCGCGCTGGACTGAAGACATTCTCTGACCTTGATGGAACTGAATCTGAACTCAGCACACCTTCCCAGCCTTTACAGCGCAGGTTCAAGACTCCGGAGCCTCAAGCCAGATACTCGACTCCCACTCGCAGCCGCACCAGTAGTCCTGCGTCTTCCAAACCAACTGCAGAAGCAATTGAGGAAATGAAGAACAGGTTCCTACGCACGTCTCTTTCTTCGCCGCAGACTCCAGGATTGAATGATTCCACCTCATCAACCGTCAAGCTATCAAGTTCTCCACCATCTGGAGGGCTTGGAGAAGAGTCGCCCACTTTAAGGCGGCACTCGTCTCGGTTACCGAGAGCGTCTGGGAGCCTGAGGACTAGATTATCCTCATCTTCCTTGACGAGAGACAGGGAGAAGGACGCCGAGGGGGTGGTCATACCCCGCACACCGGACCTGATGTCCGACAACTCAGACGACGTGACTAGTGTTCGATCCAGTGGGCCTTGTACACCGCCCTCGCTGAGTCCTCCCCTTAGCCGCGATGACCTTTTCACTCCCAAGTCAGGCCTGAACGACGGTATCACCACTACCCGGACTCCTGAATTGAAGTCATCGCCTGCTCCTGTCACTATACCAACGTTCATACCTTCCACAGCTAAATGCGCGAAGTGTAAACTATCGCTGTTCGATACCCATGGTGGCAAATATGTGACCGTGCCTGAAGAACCGAGCTCCACAGGGATACCACCGAAGACGTATCATACTGATTGTTTCACGTGCAAGATATGCGGCGGCCCATTCCAGGAGAAGGACGGTGGACAGGCCGTCTTCGTCCGTGCTCAAGGCGGCGCTTGCCATGTTGACGTAAGTGCTGCGCTACCGTTATGCATGCAGATATAATAATCATTGGCAGTGCGCACCTCCAGAGAAGGTCACTGTCAAGACTATGTCTAGTAGGATCCCGACCAGCTCGGCCTCTGCATCGAGAGCTACTACCGCTACGTACACTGTGCCTACGAAATTCGACCGTCCTCCAACAACAGCTCCCGCTTCTACTGTCGCTTTTCCCCGCTGGGGAAGTACTAGCGCGTGTCCCGGATGCCAGAAGTGTGTTTCACCCATGGAGAAGGGGGTGGTCCCCGGGCCGCAGGGGTCACGTTGGCACGCTACATGTCTGGTTTGTGGCGGGAAGGACGTGAAGAGGCGTAGCGTAAGACAGGAAGACCGCAAGCCCGGCTGTGGCAAGCGCCTTGACAGTGCTGCGAAGACTGACGGCGACGGTGGAGTATGGTGTAGAGAATGTCTGGTACGTGTCTATGATACGTCTTTAACCCTCTGGAACTTACGTCGAACGGATCGCAACTGATATAGCTGTTGCTACCTTCGCCACTGCGATCTCCCGACTCCCCAACGCGATCACCCCTAGTTTCCCAACCCACGGGCTCATTCTGGTCAGGTCGTAGTATCGTCCCGCAGACTACGGGAACGACAACCCTGGCGCGACAGTTCACAGGACTATCGGGCGGTGGAGACGCTGCCCTTACGCGGCAACTCACTGGCGGGGGCCTAAGCCCGACGAGGCAGCTGTCGTCCAGCCCGACCAAGCAACTGGGTGCGGCGACGTCGGGCAAGTTCCCGAGGCCGAAGAGTGTCATAGGGCTGCGGACTGCGAAGAGTGTTGATGAAGGGCGAGGCATGTTTTTGGTGCGGCAGATGACTGGAGGCAGAATGTGAGGATTTTCTGGTATGGATGTTTTCCTTGGACTTGCTATCGACGAAATGAATTGTGTAACCGTATGTTGTGTGGAAGACTCTCGGTGTCTATACGATTTGATGACGTAATGTGATGTTGTTGGTTGCCACCAAGGCCCTGATCTTCGGCGTCTTTCCCAGCCAATCACGAACCAGGAAGCACTGCGGTTCCGCCCGAGATCGGAAGTTCGTTTCATAAGGATCTGGCCCGTCTGTTATTATATTGACGATGATCGACCTGCCATAAACGGCAGGTGCTGTATTCCGTGATGAGTTGTGCGGCGGACGTTCTCTTTCGTTGTCAAGGTACTCATCCTCCGCTCTGACGCGCAGGCGTCGTCGACTGTTTCCCTTCGCTTTCCTCCTGCACGAGAGCGCTGGGCTCGTCGTAGAAGCCTATTCTATCCGCGTGTCAAGCTCTCCGTCGCTCGTTTCTTCTGTCTTTCTGGGATTGTATCTCGGTCCATCGAGCCTGGTTCTTGCTCGCCCAGCATCCCCCTCGGTTGTGCTGGTTTTTTGTTTCTTGTCCTTTTTGCTGTGGTCGCGGGAATCCGAGCACATGTTTCATAGTCTATTTTCTTTCGATTTGTACTGAACCATCCGCTTCGAACTGTGGATTATGTTCTCATCTGCAGTAGCGTCGGGGACAACGCTCGCTGCCAGGTCTTACAACAGCCCCACCACATTCTCTCTCACCGATGACACCTCTGTGAGTGCCTCCAATTCCTATGCGCGCCAAACGGAGAACCTCACGGCTTGGATAGTTAAATACTGTCTTGGCTGAGATTCCCCTCTTTTCGGTCGGGCTACTTGCCTTGGCAGTCGTGACTTTCCTTGCAGTTCTGCGCCGGCTGAAGGTGTACGTATATCTGTCTTGTTTTACTTCCATTCAGTCCGCTAAATGAATATGCAGCCTCGTTAGCTACCTCGTTGCGGCCGCTCTGCTGGGCTTCCTAGCCGTGATCCTGGACCTCGTCAATCTCCTGAACACCACTGTCTCAAAGAAACTCAATATCAAAGCGGATTTGCAAGCGGCTGCGTCGACCATCGTTGCTAGAGAGATATTCTTTGCACTGTCAATCGGTGCCAGGTTTATCTTCTTCTGGGCCTTTGTGGCCGAACGTCCTCGTGGAGAAGGTAGTACTGACAGTATCAATGAAGCAAAACGCCCGAATTTCATCCATATGAATTCCGGTCTAACGCTCCATAGCGGGAGTTGGGATCGTTGGGGTGTTATCGGGATGATTCTCAAATGGGGTCTTCTGGGCCTATCCGTCAGCATCCCGATCCTTCAGATGATCTGGCGCATTGTGACAGCCATGGCCACTTTTGGACCCGTATACGACGCCGATGGGACCTTGCAGATTGTAGGGTCTGCCCTGTTCGTACTGAAACTGCTGCTCAATGCATGGCTCTCTCCGGATGAAGTACGGTGGCGGGTTCTATGCCACTACTTGGTCGTAATCGTCGCATTGGGCATTAATCTGGCTCTTGGCGCTGCTAACCTGCTCTGCTGTAAGTATTGCCATGTGCTTAACCTGCCGAAGCTGACGTCCTCGTAGTCGCCTTCTCAGAAACCGTCCTCGGCCGATTTCTGCAAGCGGTGGAGCTTTATATTTTATTCTTGTACCTTCTTATCTCAACCTTCCTGCACAAGAAACCAACCCCGCCCCCCTACTCACAGTCCCCGAAGGGTGCTATGCCTGTCCGTCCGATCTCTGATTTCCGTGGTCTCCCCACGATGTCGGAACTCGACCCTCGAAACTCCACTTTCAACATCAGCCCACCCTCGGTGTCGACACCGCGGTCATCTATTGTCATTGTCCAGCAGGGCGCTGCAGCTGGCAATGGACGTCCACAAGTCTCTCGCCAATCTACTGCTTCCCGGATGTCCTCCTGGTTAATGTCTCGCGGCCGGTTGTCACTGTCCAGACCCCGTGACGTTGCTGAACGTGATGAGCAGCGACTATGGAACAAGGCTGACGCTGAGAAGGGGTATGCGGTGGATATGCCCTCCCCCGGGCTGCGGGTTTCCGCCTGGAGTCCCGACCCTACGGAGAGTGTGATGGAACCGCAGCAGAGTGCTAAATGGGTGGACCCTGTTTACAGCTCAATGATGCGTGGTGGCAGCCGAGTGCCAACTGCTAGTGAAGTGAACCTCGCGGATGACAGTCTGGGGGATCCCATCACCGTGGTTACTCCTGGTGCTACGCGGCTGGAAGACGCGAGCAGAAGCACTGAACCCGCAGAAGAATTACAGGAAAGGGCTTGGTCTCCAAGATCTTCGCTGGCTCCAACAATGCCGTCCTACTATGCTGCTCCTTCGGAACGCCGTTCACCATCTCCTCAAAATCTGCCGCCCGCACCTTCGCCAATCTATGGCCTGAACGGGCAGACTACTTACCCTTACCGAGATACTCTGGCCCCTGACTCATATGTTGATCCTGACAGTGGAATCGAGTCTCAGAGGTCTTCCGGTATCTCTATGCTGTTACGCCAACAGCAGGAACTGGACAGAAGTATCGCCCAGCTGCGGCTTTTCTCGTCACCTCGCTCTACCATAGACTCTAAGAATACCGTGCCAGGGATCGGTGTAGAGTCTGCCTCGCTCAGAAGCGAATTCACCTTGAGCAACTTCCCACAGCCACCATGGGGTACCCAAACAGGAGCAGAGAGTGAGCCTGCGACTCCGCGGGCGCGACCTGCTGAGGACGCGGACGACATACCTATTGAGTTGGAGCCGCCGCAAATGCCCGCTGCGATGGACCATCGCCGACAAATCTCGGTCCCGTCGACGACGAGAGGGGACAGTATTGATAGTACAAATACTGTCAAGAACATCCGGACAGGAAGATTTGATTCGCAAGGGACGCAATACGACGTTACGTCCTTCATTGGGAGTATGTGTCTCCTCGCGCTATGTACTGTATGTGTATTGATGAACCTCTGTTACAGATCTGACCACCCCCGGACCGAGCACGTCGCCATCTCAGTTCTCCACCGGGCCGCTCAGTGACATTGCTTCGTCGAATACCAGCTCGCCTATCGCCACCGTTGTCTCCCTCCACCAACCTTCCACTTCCGTACACTCTGTGAAGCCCATTATCATCAATCCATCCGTGCTCGCCCTCAGCTCCACGGATGCGGGCGAAGGTACACCACGCCTCGCGCCTCGGAACGTAACATTTGCAGGCGCCGACGCACCCCCCGCCGCTCCAGCGGGGCCGCGCGCTCCCATGTTCACCCCGGGAGGCGCGATGGTGGAGGGCAAGATGAGGAAGAAGGGGGCAGTCGGTTTGCCCCCGCGGCCGCGTCTCATGATCAGCCAGCCGACCCCGCGCGACAGCGGCACCGGTCAGAGCTTTAGACCCGGCGCATTCGAAGACCCAAGACCGGCTCCTACGTTCACCGAGGACAGTAGCACATAGGTAGTTATGGACTACATGCCAGTATCTATTCATTATTTGTGACATATGCCGGTTGCTTCCATCGACTCTCGTCAGTATATATGTACTTTTAGTTCTGCTTAGCGTACAGTGTTTTACTAGCTATCGCCTCTATGATAGAGGCTTTACCGAAACTGTGGCCTCTGACGAATGTGAAGGGAAGGCGAAATGCACAGCCACGATGCACCACTTGTGAAATGACGTCAAGCCACAAATGCGCAGGCCTGTGGCGGGAGCGGGGCCGACACAACGCAGCTTGTACACTACACCCACCATGTCATCTTTCCCTGATTACTATGCTCTCTTGGGGGTAACGCAGAGTGCTACCACGGAGGAGATCAGGCAGGCTTACAAGAAGGAGTCGTTGAGGTGCGTTCAAGTTGTCCTCTGACTCTTGAGTGAGCAAAGAGAACTGAGTCTCTACGCTATGCTTCCAGGACTCATCCAGATAGACTGACAAAGGCAAGCTCCGCCGAGAAGAAACGGGCGACAGAGAAATTCCAGGTATGCCCGTACACTCAGCTTCCAAGACGAAGAGCTGACGTTCGAGCTCAGGCCGTCGCCGACGCGTACTACGTTCTGTCTGATCCTACAAGGCGCAGTGAATACGACGTTCTATATGCCTCACAACCAAGAAGAAGTCAAGATCCCAATGCATCCTCCAACTTCTTCTCTCAGTTTGCGAACATGTTTGCCGGTGCTGCGGGTGGCAGCGGGGCAGGTGCTGGACAGCCGGGCACGCCGCCAGCGGGTCAGAGGCCAGATGCGGAGGGCGTGTTCAGCGACGTGTTCGAGGAGGTGAGCCGGCTAGTGACTTTTGCGCGGAGACATGGCTAAGCCCCTTGCGCAGCTTTTGCGTCCGGAGGTAGAGCGGCGGGTATCGTGGTGGGCATACTTGGGTGCAGTGTGTGGTGCCGGGGTTGGGTTCATTATCGCAAATATTCCGGGACTCATGCTGGGAGCTGTTGCGGGGAACCGGTTGGGAGCAATTCGGGATGCGAAGGGGAAGAGCGTTGCTGCCGTGTTTAACCAATTGGGTGGAAATCAGAAGGCGGAGGTAAGTCGACTTCTTTTAACGGATTTCGAGGAATTTAGTGCTAAGACGCGGGCTGAATCAGATTCTGCGTGCGCTCGCCATGAAGGTGTTGGGCTCCGCGTTTTGATCCTGGTCTGTGCTGAATATACCCTATGACCGACGATGAGTTGCCGAGTATAACTATGTTGGGCGCATTGTAATTCACGATCTTGTTCTTGTATTGGTGCAATGCTAGGATACACGACGTGGGACGGATTTTGTAAAACATATAATGACCATTTGTGGACTTGACCCGACGGAACGGAACTGGTCGGGACGATCGCAACTCATTAGCCGGTCACGTGTCGCCATCAGAGCTAGACGCGGGGCACAGAATGCGGGGTATGAATAGACTCACCTGAGCGCTGCCAACCTTCCGGCCCTCCTCTAACCATGGCTTTCCGTAAGTTCAGCCTTTTAGTCCAGCGTACAAGATGACTGACAGCGTTTTAGCCGGCATCCAGTCCTTTTGTCCTACTCCTGAGAGCGTACCGCCTCCTGCGCCTCTCTACAGACTCAAGCACCCGGAGGGCCTGTCAGTGCATATACATCCATTGGTACGTGGTTGCGTTCGACCTCGAATGACGCACCACCGCTGATAATGTTGGGAGAATCCCCTTGACTTTGTGTTGAGGGCCGCTCAGATCTATCCGGACAACCTTGCTCTGGCACATCCTGATGTTGAGAGCCCCGTCTATTACACATACGCCGTATGGTAAGAACAGGGGATATGGGTGCTGCTGCAGACAGGCACTAACATATCCCGAAGGGCCCAGCGCATCCAGAACTTGGCATATGCCCTCATACAAGCGGGCGTGCAGCCGGGAGATCGAGTAGCTATAATAGCACCCAACTCGTGAGCCGCTCGCGTTTCTGCCCTATATATCTCGTTCTGACCCCAGATCAAGTCCTATGATAGCAGGTAATCCCTACCGCTAATGCCCCTGTACAGTGCGAGCTCTAACTCCGCACTATCTGCCAGACGCCCACCACGGCGCACTGGCAGCCAGAGCGATAGTAACACCCATAAACACACGCCTTACGAGGCCAGAAGTCGAGTATATCCTCGACCATAGCGGAGCGAAGATTATTCTCGTGGACTACGAGTTCGTGCATCTCGTTCAGGGTGCCAAAGCACGGGTGGTTGTGAGCAAGGACACCGGACGGCCCGGAGACCCTTACGAGGAGTTCCTGAGCAGTGGTCGGAGGTTTAGTCAGGAGAAGGGATGGCAAGGGCTGCAGGCGGAGAGCAATGAAGATGCAGGGGCTTGTCTATGTTATACGTAGGTTTCCTTCAGTCCAGCTCATGATGTTTGGTACTGACATCATAAATTAAGGTCCGGTACTACAGGCAGGGTATGTATGGGGTCACTGATTCCAGACATTGTCTTTCTCATCGGCCTCCGCGTCATTAGCCAAAGGGTGTACTCACCACCCTGAGAAGTGAGTGAATGCACATATGCATCAGAAGGAGTGAAGCTTACGCCGGTATCTTCAGGCAGTTATTTGGCGGCTGTTGCGAACGCGTTCGAAACTCGGTAGGTTATATGCCATGATCACAGACGGAATCGTGCTTACATATTCATACACCAGAATGAATCCCGACTCTACTTACTTATGGTGCGCATCCACGCGGGGCTTCATTGGATCCATCTAATAATACCGCTGCGATTTTCCAGGATTCTTCCTATGTTCCACGCTGCAGGATGGACTTACCCTTGGGCAATAACCTTCGCCTTTGCTACGCAGGTACGGAACACACAACGGGGGCACCTGACACGGTGTACGGTGTATACTCACCATTATCTAGATCACCCTCCGCACCGTCTCTTACCCGCACATATGGAACCACCTCCTCAACTCGGGCGTCACGCACTATTGCGGCGCACCAACCGTCCAGGTGGGCACATCACCGGCCAAGGCGACGTGCATGATCGAAGCTGACCATCAGCCACCCAATAGATCGGCCTCGTGAATGCGCCAGAAGCCAGGAACTTGGACCATCCGGTGTCCGCGATTATTGCTGGTTCCGCGCCTACGGCGCATCTGATCGGCGAGCTCGAGAAGAGGGGCATTCAGCCGGTTCATGTGTATGGCTTAACGTGAGTCAAGGTTTTGTAAAAGATTCGGGTATCAGTTAGACTGACTGTGTGCTCAGTGAAGTAGGCATAACTTGAACCTCATGAAGAAAGCGACTGACCATGGATGGCATACCGCACCGTGCCCGTCGATGTCTAGACGTTAGGTCCCTTCACCCGAAACTACTTCCAGCCGTCGTGGCGACAGCTGTCCCATGACGAGCGGTCGAAGATGCGCGCCCGCCAGGGCCACAGCTTTGCCACAGCCCAAGAAGCTCGAGTCGTGTACGCCGCTGCAGAGGACAACGGCGTGCCCAGCGGCGAGCTGAGGGACGTGCCTAAGGATGGAAAGACCATCGGCGAGGTGGTCACGAGAGGGAATATAGGTCAGCATAGTATTCCCTCCAGTTGCCCTTTCACTGGATGACTCACCGGTGTTTTGTGGGTTTAGTTATGAAGGAGGTCTGTTACATGACAGCAGCCATCCTGAGATACTGATTGTTAATTCTGCTTCCAGTATTTCCGAGACCCAGAGGCGACGCGGAGGGCATTCGAAGGAAACCACTTCCATTCGGGCGACCTTGCAGTATGGCATCCTGATGGCTCTATAGCCATTGTTGACAGGAGTAAAGATATCATCATCTCCGGTGGAGAGGTCGGTCATTACAAGACCTGTTTCGTGCCGCTGCTGATGCCTCTGCGCCCAGAACGCTTCCAGTCTCGCTATTGAGCAAGGTAATTCCGGCTTCTTCCAAGTGTGATATGCTAATTCACGCTTGGATATACAGAACTGGCTGAGCACCCGGACGTGCTAGAAGTCTCGGTCGTAGCGCGACCCCATCCTAAATGGGGAGAGAGGCCGATGGCTTTCGTCGTGCTGCGATCCGAAGCCATTCAACGATGGGCGAGAAAGCATGCAGAGTTCGCTGCTAATCTCAAGCAGCACGCGAGAGGCCGCCTACCAGGCTTCGCCTGTCCAGAGTGGGTCGAAGTGGTACCCGAATTACCGGTGAGCCGCTCTTCTTCTGTACATGGGCTCAGCAAGTCGGTACTAAGGCAATTCGATAGAAAACTTCGACGGGTAAGATCCTGAAGACTCAGCTGCGGAAGCTCGTGGCGAAGCTGTGAGGCGTTCGCGTCGAGGTCCGAGTCACGGAGGCGCACGATCTGTACATGCCGATGTAATAATAAGCTCTAATTGCACAGCAGTTATATATAATTGTACTTATAAAGACTTGCGAGGTGGAGGTCCAACGATGATGGTAGATGCGAGAAAATACAGCAGAGTTATGCAGGGTAGGAAGGAGTGGATTGACCTCTATGCACCAGTGGGAGACAGTCGTAATATCCGAAACGAACCAGTTCGTCTTTCACATAAATAAATCTCGTCGTCTTTCCGCCCTAGGAACAGGACCTCTTCCTGCAGCTGATTATCTTGAGCGGGGTCGGGCCCGAATGAGAAATCTGTCCGCCCGGGAGACTTGCCAGGGCCGGTACTGCCTTTCTTCATTCGTTGGCCCGCTTTGGAGCTGGCTGCTGCAGATAAAGAAGACGGAGATCCTGTCGGAGATATTGGCGTGCCAATTTTCCACACGAAAGGTGCACGTCGATTGATGACCGACAGGGACGGATTGAACTGAGGCAGAACTGTCCTCGATTCATCTGCAGGCTTGAGAAGGGCGTCTCCAAAGTCGACAGCTTCTAGACCACCTTGCCGCATGGCGACGAGGACTGCACGATCCTTGACATCGAATGCTTCAAGACGTTTCACATCCCCCATTCTTCCGGTCACGGAAGACGTATCATCGTCATCATCCTGGGACCAAACAAATCGCGCCTTCAGGACGGATCTGCCCCGTGCGTCGACTATTGCGGTACTGTGGCCACCCCGTGAGGAATAAAACAGCGCAGGCGGTCCAAAATGTTTTGGTTGGGCCAGAAGAGATATTGGGGGCAAGAGTGGTTTGGAGGGCTCATGCACCAGGGGCATAGCTTGAACGTTCATCGGGGGTGGAGTTGGGCGGAACGGATGGGTGGGGTCAACACTCTGCAGTCTCAGATCTCGCAGCAGAATGAACTCGGCGTCTTCTTCTCTCCTAACCGGCAAGTCAGGGGGCAACAGACCGTCTTTGTACCATGCCTGCATCAAGGATGCCTTCCAAGGACCTGGAGGAGACACGTCAGGGCCATCGAGGCAGAGAACTCAAAAACGTACCATGAACTACGCCTTTGGGGTCTCTGTAGTACCACATTGACGGAGCGGTAGGAGCAGGAACGGGCAGACCAGGCGGAGAAAAGTTCACTTGTGCCAGGTCTACTGTTGCACTACCATTTACCTCCGGTTCGTGCTCAGCGCGATACTGTAGGAAAGATGGGTACGTTGGCGGAATCATGTACTCATCTGCTATAGCCGCCAGTGGGAAATTCGGAGAGAAAGACAGTTGCTGGAAGGTAGTATACGGCCCCATGTGAGCTGTGGCTAGTGCCACTAACTCCTCAGTAGAAGTGGACGTGGTCGGGTTCGAAGTCTCTGCTGGCGTCTGAGAATCTTCAGGAGGTGGTGGTAGGCCGAATGGAGAATTCGCTGCTGAAGGAGCAGTAGAACCAGGGGTATCGCTCGCGACTGCAATGCCGGACGCTGGAACGGGTACACCTATGCTGACATTGACGTTGGTATCCTCTTCGGCTGCAGGAGCCGCGTCAGCATCAGCAGTCGCTGCTTCCTCAGGTCTGGTTTCCCGAGCTCTCCTCCTTGCAGCTCGGCGCTCCGCGCGACCAATGCGTACTTCTCTGACCCGTACTGTTGCAGGTTCTAAACCGAAGACATTCTGGGAGAAGACCAAGAACACTTCAACCAAATCATCTCCCTGCAGTTGCAATTCCAGAGATCGGGGAGAATCGGGGAGGATGAACGTGCGAGACAACCCAAGAGCTGTCCGATAAGTTCCAGCGAACAATTCCACCTTTTCCCCGTTGTCACCACAAAGGATGGCAAGGAAACTACCTAGGTGATAAGCCATACTGCAAGGACGGAATATATGTCACTCACCTCTTCTTGGCCGTTTCCACCGCCTTTATTAACAATGCACCCTTTGTTCCAGGTAGCTTCACATACTCTAACTTGGGAGCGGGTGCGTGAGGTGCAGAATGTCCATTAGCCATCTTCCTCCCATCCTGATCGGCGCCCCGGACTGCCACAACCTGTGACGCGTCGTCTCGACGGGGGTGAAGAACGTCCTGGATCAACCGCGAAATGAATCGGGAAGAAGGACGATTAGTGGAGCTAGACTGAGCGGAAGCATCTTCTGCTGTAGTGGGCAATGAGGCAGCACGGACGCTATTACCCGGGGAAGACGACGGTCGCGCAGAATTTGAGGCAGAGGCTGCATTGCCCTGCGACCGGAATGATTGTGAACGGACGAGTCGGCTCCGTCTGCGGTCAGCTACAGGAACCGTAGCAGCCGAACTGGTGGCAGTAGCTGGCACTTCCGTCTCAGGAACAGGCGGCGCCTGAGATGACGTCGGTGAACCACCGGGTACAAGGTCAAGCACTGACCATCGACGCCTTCGCCTCCGTTGCTCCTGGGTGTTAATGGTCGATCTGGTAGAGTGAGCCTCAGAGGTGCGTGGACTAGCTGGCTCATCGTCTCCGGTCGCAATGGGATGCGAAGCAGTAATAAGGATAGGTTGCTGTGGCCGACGGCTTCCAGCAGGTGGAAGATCTGGTATACGGCTTTCCAAAAGAGCCTCGGCAAGACTGATCTCCTCTCTGGGCGTTTCGTCTTCACCGCCGTCTCCATTGCCTTCACCATCTCCAGTTGGGGAAGCAGGCTCTGACATATCTTCTGTCATAGCAGCGGAATCTGGAGGCTCGCCATCAGAGGCCGCGGCAGCATTAGAGGAGGCAGAAACAGTGAGCGCCTGGCGAAGTGACATGAGCGTAGGGGTGGGAGACGGATGAGGAGGAGGTATGCCGGCACTTGTATGGGCTCGCATCGATGTTAGATCCAAGTTAGATGGTCGACTACGACGTTGAGTGGTAGCGGTCAACATTTGGGTACTCAACGCACGCCCCGGTGCCGGAGGTAACGGAGGTATATCTACACGCGCCAGGCCATTCCCAGACGTAGATGCCGGCACAGGCGGGGCGGCACCAGCAGCCATAGCACTGGTCCGCTCGTCATACGCTTCACTGCCGCTTGCGCCGGCAGATACAAGGTTAATCGCTTCATCGTCACTAGAATGACGAGGATCACTCCAGTCTCCTTTCAAGTCCAATTCTTCTCGCCGAGTTTCAGTACTGGCGTTGCGCCTGTCCAAAGGCCCACTTAGGACGTCAGTGACAGACGAGCGGCGAGCCCGAGCTTGATCCAGAGGCACTGGAGTTGCTGACTCTCGGCGAGTACGGTCAACCACCGAGCTGCTGTATGACGGTGGAGGACCAGGCGGTACCGGAGGAGCAACCTGAGTTAACGGCTTTACCTGAGGACTCGACTTCCTCTTCTTCAGCTGCGACCGTGCAGAAGAAGCCTGCGAAGGCACAGGCGCAGAAGAAGCCGACGCCGATGATGCTTTACGCGGAGGCTTCTCCGGTGGCGCAGGTGCCCCAGAAGACGATATCGACAGCTTGGACTTGGAATGCTTATCTGTCAATGCCCGCTTGTCAGAGTCCTTGCCTGATGACGAAGGAGGGTTTCGTTTCGAATCTTCCCGCCGCTTGCGTTCGGCCTCTCTGCGGACTTCGACCTCGATGCGCCATTCTACGGCCTTCTTCACCTCTTCGAGCGCATATACCCGGACACCGTCTCGCCGTCCAGCTATCGCTACCAGTACGCCGCGGTGCTCCATGACTACGACGCTTTTGAAGCTGACTCGGCGTACCAAAGCGTACGGCTGGGGCGCAGGCGGTGCAACTAGGGGAACGACGTCGAGCCCTTGGGCATGGCATAACAACAGATAGTGGGGAGCCAAGAAAGCACCACTTGAGGGTGGTGTAGTGAAATGGGAAGGAGAGAGAATGGACGTTATGGACGACAGAGAGAGTCCGAGTTCCTGCAGACTGGGGGGTGGCAGAGACGGCGGTGGAGTAGATGGTCGTACAGGTGAAGAGGATCTAGTATTAGTTTCCGACTTTTGCCGCGTAGGAGTCGGTGAAGGTTCTGCTTCCTCTTGGGTACCTTGTCGAATAGACGAACTAGCCATCGGGTCGCGCCTGTGCATCAGGTTCGAGAAGAAACCAGATATACGGTTGGAGGCGCGAGTCTGCTCTCAGGAAGAAGACGTTAAATGGTGAGCTACGCAAAGACAAAGGACACGTTCACGTACGTCGACGGTCGACCGATGTCGATTGCGTCTCTCCTGTGCAGTGCTGGGGCGCTGCGAGTTCGGCGATGGGCTAGGGGACAGCATGGGGTCTGCAGGTCCGTTTGGAAAGGTCGAGTTAGAGGCATGCGCAGTGCTCGGTCGCGTCGGAGACTGTGGACTGGTGACCTGCACCAAGGGCAAGCTGCGAGTGCTGGCAGCGTCCGAGGCAGCCTCGGGACCGGTGCTAGTGGGCGTCGTTGCCTCAATATTGGAGTTTACGACCGGCGCAGCAGCGTCCTTGGGCTCTCCGGAAATTTTGGGTCCGCGTACGGTCAAATCATCCTGACTTTGTCCTGCCAGTTCCTGCATCTGCCGCCTCCGGGCCACTGCGACCATAGACTGATCGTCAGTGTTGACGGTATCGCGCACGCTCCATTGATCGTCATTGTCATCCGCGCTAAGGCCGGGGACCGAGTCGCCGTGGGTATAGGTGTGAGGGTCGAGGAAGGATGTTTGCGAACTGGACGGCCCGAGCTGCGACATAATGCGAGGAGCGTCGAGCGACGCTCACGCCGTCTTGTAACGTGAAAGGAGAGAAATACAGCCGGGGATTCCTAACGACAGCGACCTCAGTGCGCGTACTCTTGAAAGGGGAGGGACCTGAGAGCGCCTGTCGCCTTGTCGGAGGCTGAGCGAGTCGATTCCACCGTCACGGCTGCATGCTCAGCAGAGGATGGTCAGCTCTCCCACGCCACAGCTGCTCGACTCTGCACATCTCTATCACTGCGGTACTTTCTTAGACGTGCTTCTGCAAGGTCATCAATGTTGATTGCTTCTTAATGAAGCCAACTGCTAGTTGTAGTAATGGCACCATCTCAACTATCCTACGCGATGATGCCCCACTCACCCTGTGCAGCTTGGGCAACCCTCGTCAGCCACCGAAAGCACGGACTTCGCTCACTAAGAATGGGACCGGAATAAATAACCTGAGAATATGCTACTCAGAGGTATACAGTCGACAGCACATCGGTGTCGATGAGCCCGTGAACGGAACCTCCATCGCCGATCTGCCCGATGTAAGTGGGGGACACGATCAATCATCGTCCTCCAAGGCTTCATTCACAGCCTCGTCCAGCTTTTTCTCGTCCGCGATGTGTTCCCCAAAGGGGTCGTTCTCCTCCATAGCCTTCCGAATCTCCTCGGCCTTTTTCGCCCTCTTCTCAGCAGCGGTCTTCTCTTCTTGAGCCTTGCGAGCCAGATAGGCTTTGCTGCCTATAACCTTCTCCGGGTTCTTGCATAGCTTAAGCCTCCTGTCCACATCTCGGACGGCCTCCACGTCTGGCGGATGACTGTCCTGCAGGATCATCTGTTTGAGAGGTTCAATTACTTGCAAGACATTACTAGAGTCCTTCGAGTGAGCCCATAGGGAAGCGAGATTGGGCGACGCCAAAGAGAATGCAGCCAGCGCAATTTGGGACGGCGTATATATTAGTTCAGCGTCCGTAAGTCGTGACGCTCGGACATGGGTCTTGGCCGTTTTGTAGACCTCTTCGATATCCTCTTTCGGGTGATCCGGGAGACTCTGTATGATATTGGTATCAGCCAAGCTTCAACAGGCAAACATGTCTCCGGGCATACCTGTATGTCCAGCCATACACCCCAGAGTGCTCTGTGTGGATGCCAGACGGTGAACTCAAAGCCAAGGCTTTGCGCGACTAGAAATTCCAGGTCCAATATATCGGAAGGAGATGTTTTGGGTATCCGAGAAACGTAGGCGTCTATTGGAATCGGCTGGTTTGCCGTCTTTGTAGCAAGGAAGAGTGCAGTCAACCTACGGTCGACCATGAGTACGACATGCCCTCTAGGCTTCCAAGACTGCTCACATGACGTTCTTAGGGTGCCAGTCCATCACGGTATTTTTCAGGTAGAACCTTTTGAGATAGCTGACTGCTGTTGCTTCGACCTCCTCTGGGAATCCGCAAGCGCCACATAGTTGGGGTATCTTGGACGCATAGAACTTGACAAGGAGACGTTCTTCATCTGCGTTCAGGAAGGAGACATCTGAGGAAGATCCCGGCTGGGAATGGGTTTAGCTGAACTCCATTTCAAACGAGGACCGAGAATACTGACCGAATCAGCTTCGAAGGTATCGCGTATAGCTGCCACTGCAGCTTCATTGAGGGAAGTGCGTATGCTGGACAACTGCTGCTTGGAGAATCTCCAGTTCTTGTACTGTGTGCTTGCCTCATACAGAGTTCTCTGTCTTTTCCTAGGCGGCTCAGGCTCGGGTGTCACGCTGGACGCGACTTCTGTAGGCACAGGCATCTGGCGTCGGAGGGGTGTCATCGTGGGAACCCCGCGTCGTCCGGTAACTGCGAGTGCATCGCCACCGAGATGCGATCGAGATCATCGGTCAAGATGGTCTCCAGCACTGGCCGCGACGGCCACGCTAGCGACAAGGCCTGCGCCGACAATGAATTAATTCTTTTCTTGCATGACGCCGCGCATCTGTTCTGCCTGGTAGCACTCCCGCGTCAATTATGCCCTGGGTGCTGGTTCGCCCTGTCCTCTGGCGCCATTCTGCTTATGTTCACGCTTTCTTTCTCTTGTTTCTTTTCCTGCTCGCGGAAACCGTCCATGCACAGACTTCCGTGAACGGACAAGTCTTCACCAGTGGTCTGGCTATTCTGGATGCCCCTGCCCCCCAGAGGTGACTAAGCCCGCTAACTAAGAAACAGAACCCGCGTGCTTACCCCTCACAGCGTCCAGCATGCAGGCAGCAACATGCCCATAGCCATCGACGTACGCACCTATTATTCACAGTCGTTCGCACTTTGCTGAACACATCCCGCTTAGGTATCCGGCGACGGAAAGCTGTCGCAGACCGCTACAATCCCCGGCTCAGGATTACCCACTCGCTACGACTCCCTGGAGCTCTACCTCGTCTCGTCCCAGACCAGCATGAACCTGACCGTGTCTGAAGGAACAGGTCTTCTGACGCAGGAGAGCGGAAGCACCGTGAAGCATCTCAACTGGCCGATACCCAAGTGCCTCCCTGCTGGCCAGTATAACGTGCGCACGAAAATCCTCTGCCTCGGAAAGAGGTTTGTTCAATAACCTCCTTCTACAGCTCACTCTGTACGAGACGTCCCATGTGAACAACCAAGGGTTCTTCTCAATCACCCCGATCCCCGTCACGATACAAAACCCCGCCCCCTCGGGTCTTTGCACGGACGGGTCGAACGAGTTCCTCGGCCAGCCACAAACGTCCTCTCCCCCGCCGCAGAATCCCTTCCTGCCCTTCCCGGGAGGGCCCATCACGATTACCCTTGGGCCCTCCGGGGTGATCTTCCCCTCCCAGTCGACCGTCACGCAAACCGTCACTGCGCCTCCGTCCACCGTGACGGTTGTGGCCGTATCGGTCGGGACGACCACCTTCACGAGCGTTCTGCCCGGGACAACGCAAATTATCACCAGCGTGTACGTGGAACATACCTTTCTTTCCCATCCTATGTTTCTTGGCTGACAGTAACTAGTATCCGGTCGACGGAGACTACCACAGCACTCATGGCCTCCGGCTCCATCGACACGTCCGGCTTCTTCCCCGTGAACGGTGCTCCGAGCGCGAGAGCGAGCAGCTCGACCGTCCCGGTAATAGTATGCTCGCTCGCTAGTCTGCTGCTATATACCATTGTATAGCCGACTGTTTTTCGTGGACTTTATATACTATCTTGGCGGATGTATCGTTATTCGGACCATTTTTATTCGTTTCGTATTAATACGCATGTTATCTGGGGTTATAGCATAGGGCAGACTCATCCCATTCATAGTGGGCAACTTCACGAGCCAGGTGCAACATCGCTTGGGATACATATAGGATGCAGGGTGTTACCACTTCGGTAGAAGATCAATTGTCTCGACATCCCCGGCTTCTGAAGCGTCGACGCGCTATATCAGATGGGAGGGTGGCTAGGGGGTAGTGTAACGTACAGATCTCGAGCCCTCTTCCGGCCGAACGCGTTCCACAATTGCCTTCATCTTTGGATGAAAGAGCATAAAAGAGCCCAGGGCTATTCTGGCAAACAGTCGCTTACCTTCTCCAACAGCGCCGGTCCGATGATTTTCAGTCTGGTCTGGAGGATGGATCTGTACCCTAGGTTGACGCTGGCGTTCTCTAGCGAGAGCGCGCGTAGTTCCGAGCAGAGATTGAGATTCCAGGGAGAAGCTAGCATAAGTCGCGCTTCCGGAAAATAGTCAGGAATGTGAGATGCTCGAGGAGCGCGTTCGTAAGGAGAGACTCACCAATGTCAGAAGTCGTACGGTCAAGCAAGTCCATGAGAAGATACGCGAAGCAAGGACCGACCAGCAAAGCGAGCGGCACATCGTCGCCAAGGAATTCATCCATCAAAATGGCAAGTAGAGCGTCCCTCGCGTAGTCCCAGATTTCAACCACGGTGAGGTTATCTAGAGCATTGAGTTTCACGCTGGCTGAAAGAAAAGTACAAGCTGCAGCTGCAGAGACTCATTAGCAAGAGAAGGACCCGGGAAACTTCTAACTGACAAGCCAACAGGAGGTTCCCCCGGCTTACGCTGAAGACCAGGGCGCGCAACCTTTCGCCCTCCCAGACGTTGGGGAGGTCCTCGAACTCAGACCCAGCATTGGACTCCCGCAAGGCAGATAGGACAAGGAGAAGAGACGGCAGGTAGGCCAGAGAGGCGACATTTGGCGCATTAGTAGACAGCGGGTGTTCAGTGACAGCAACGAGCCAGGATGAGACGGCTTGACGGCCGAACGACTGGACATCCAGAGATCGCAGGAGAACAGCCAGAAAGTTCAGAGTTAGATTGATCCTCTGGCATAGATCTTTAGCATTTTCATCCAGCAGATCCCCGTGCTCGAGGAGACTACTTTAAAAGACTAGAAGTCAGACACTTCCGATCAATCACGAGGGGTTCTTACCGCCTTTGCGTAGTGATTACTGGATAGAAAGTGAGTGTGAGACAATACGGGGATATTGGTAAATACCGCAGTCAAATCTCAGGTTGAAGTCAAAGAGGGCACCAACGTGGACGTTCTTGAACGCGAGATCTAGAATCTTGGGCTCCAACATACCGAGGGCTTCCACCATGAATGCCCTGGCTAGGACAGGATATCAGACGCAAGTAGGTATCGGCATCGAAACAAATGAACCATGAATTTCTCGAGAGGTGTCCGGAAGCAGGACAAACAAGCTAAGAAAGGATACCCCTAGGTCAACGAAGGGCAGGGCACACGGGTCCTCTTGCGAATGTAGAAGTAACGTAGCGGCCCATGCTGATTTCGTAATGACGTCCAACGCAGGTAAATCCACGGCGCATGGGGATGACGATGAGGATAGCTGCCTGATGGCTTGCTGCGATATCCGCTGAAAATAAGATTATGTGAATTACCTCTACGTCAAGCAGCACAGAAGTTATACCAATAAAGCCCCACAAGCTGCGGCAGGATACTCCATGAACGACGAATGGATTACAGAGTTCGAGATGTCGGCATTTTGCTCCCTATCGTCTTCTCCGGTGCTGGTCGGACCCACATGTTGTAACCACACAGACGTCTAGAGAGGATTAGGATATTCTGAGTTCATTCTTTAGTGCACATACCAGATAAGTAACGACTTCGGAGGCCATAAGTCTTGGATCATCCCAGACGAGCCAGGAGAACATTACTGTTCTGCCCCATCTTATCAGTATAGTTTGAGCAGAATCTAGTACACCACGAGGTAAAATGCTTGAGGGGGATTTGCAACGATAGATAATGGACTGTATCAGGCGGACGATATTGCTGAGAGTGTGAGGTATAAATGGACTGCTAACGCTGTCGCGTTCAGCCTGTCTCTGCCGCAGATGGACGGTCTAGGAATAACATATCTTTCTCTTCAGCTCAACTACGGGCGATTCAGACTTACAGTAAACAACGAGATGACCATAGCAACAGTCATGACATGGCGGCCTGAGGAGCCAGAATGTGGCATCTGCTTGCCGGTAGTGCCAGGCGCCGAAGCTAGTCGATTGATACATGATCCCAGAGCTCTCAGGATGTCAGGATAAGCGGAGCTGAAGTAAAGGACGGTCCGTGAGACGAGATTGACAGGAAGGATAGAAGGCAGACTCACGCCCGAGGTAGGTCAGAACTGAGCTGAGGCGCTAGTACGTTCAGCCCGAACGTAAGTTGTATCGCAAGTCTAATGGCAGCTGAAGAAGCGTCTTCTGATGCCATAAGGTGTACTACATCAGACCAACTTTCTGGGTCTCGTTACGGGTGAGGGCTATGAAGTATATGGGGTAGATATACCTGGTAATTGGGTCGCAGCCCGAAGGCAATCATCGGTGTATTGTTTCCTAAGGGAATCCGGCATGTTTGGAAGATCGTCTAGGGCAGCCGTCCCGGCCGTCAGGACGCATATACATTCCCCGAGCTTAGATAGTATCACGTCCACCCAGCACACAACGACTGGTGTGTGTATGCCTGATCGGCATTCACGACTGGCAAGCTTATAGAAGACTTTCCTGTATGCGAAAAGAAGCCGCATAAAGTCTTCTTGCACTGACGAAACACAATGAAATACTCAGCAGACTCCGAAAGCTACGGTGACATACAGATGGACACAATCACCGCGGCGACCCCATGTCGATACTCATCTGGGGCTGAACCGGCAAGTAAAATGATTTCCAGCGACGTCAAGATTGTGTTGGAGGCCTCTGAAATTACGTCGTGAAGAGCAATATTCTGCAGCCATAGCACGAGAAGACAAGGGTCAGGACTCGGTCACAAAGTAGTCAGAGATTTCAGGTACGTGTTCAACAGCATCCAAGACCAGAGACGATAGGCACCGGATAGCTCCTTGGACTTTCTCCAGAGTGCACTCCGTCGGCACGGTCTCGCAGCCTTGGGCGTCGGCGGGATAAGCAGACATGCGTGCAAAATCGCAGGCATCCATTGTATACGCGACCGGAACGTCGGCCTCAGAGTCGGTGTCACTTTGAGAAGACATGAGGGGTTGAAGTCGAGGAAAGTCAATGGAGGGGGCAACGACGGATGCGTGACTGAACGGTACGCGTGCAAGACGCGTCGCGTCTCACGATCGGGGTTCTTTCGCACGCCCGGATCCCGGGCCGCATGCCACAATATCGGTTGTGTACAATGGAGTATGATTGCCTAAGAGGCTACGAGCGAAGTGTACTGTAGGTATACACAGTCAACCATTTGCACAACTCTCAGAGGGGTTATGGAGTCATTGCAGGTACTGATAGGTAACACACTGGCTAGGGGACATCACTGTACTTTCTAAGCCATTCACGTTACTGTAGACCACGGATGTTATTTAGGAAGTCTGCAACTGCAGTCTTGCACTCCAATGGTTCCTGGCTCCTGGAAAAGACCCCTTCAAAAGCATGTCCTGATTCTTCGGTCTGCAAGAAACACCAGATTCAGTGAGACGCCTAGGACACACGCCAGCTACGCACCTCTCCCTCACAGTACTCCAGGTCTTCCCAGGTTTCTTCCTCCTCAGCTCTTATCATGAGAAGCATTTCTCGTCTAACTGCAGAGAGACCACCTTGAATAGCTTGTCCACCTTCCTTGTCCGATCGACGAGCAGCGACCTGTACTTCACGAGCTTCTCCCGGAGTGGGTTTCTTCTCCTTCTTCACTACAGGTGGCGGAGCTTCTTCATCCGGGTCAGGTGGTGGCCCATCGTCAGAATCTGAATCGTCGCCTGCACGAGAACGCTTGTTTCGACGGGACAGGACATCCATGTACGTCAGGGTAGGTCTCAACTGGTATGACTCGCTGATCGGATGTAGATGCAGTCGCCCTGCTAAATTTGAGCATATGAAGCATGCGGTGGGACTGACTACTCACCATCACGAACCACGCCCAGCATATATGCGCCCTTTTGAGGTATTCGTTCGCTCTGGATGCGGACCTCACTGAGCCTCGGCTCTTCCCCTTCTTTTAACTTAGTCTTCTGTGATTCTTGATTTTTCTCTTTATCATCCTCCACCCTTGCTACACCCAGCTCCCTCGCTCTTTCGTTATTCCAAACCTGCTGCCGAGTATCGACAGGGACATGGACCTCAAGTCTCTTGACTTTGGGTTTTATCCGGGCAGCGATTCGTTTACCCGCCGCCCGCGCCGACGGTGGAGCCTGAAGTGGGCGCGTCAATAGCGGGAATTGGTGTATATGGACGTTGGGAGCTAGCGCATTCGACAGATGGATGGGTAGAACAGTCACTAGCCGGTCCTCTTCCGCGTTCATCTTCAAGCTTCAAGATCCAACACCGTGGGAATCTATATGAGGAAGCAATGTACCGAAATTTGCCACCTGCACCCGATCCTACAGTAAGCCTAAGTTTGCATTAGGATATACATTCATTATACAAGATACCAACTTGTTTTTACTCTAGCATCGTCACAACAGCTTAACGGTATCTAAGGTAAGGAACTGGAACTACATGAAGTTGTCCGATACGCCTCCGCGTTTCCCGAGTGATCAGATGGCGGAGGCTGAGCACGCATATAATGAGGAGTGTCCGAATCAGGAGGCAGGGTATTCACGAATGATAACATTGTAGGCGTGGTGGCTGCAGTGATAGACTCCGTTGTTGTGAGGGAGGATGATGACGATGATGATGATCTCCAGGATGGCCCGTCCAAGCTGAGGACTTCCCCGTCGTTGCGGCCAGTACTCCCATCCTCCATGGGAGACTTGTTACATGAGTGAGTGGTGATGTCGTCTTCGTCGGCGTGGGTGATCCGGCGATGAGGGCCGTTGTCGGTCGACCAGTGTCTCCATGTATCCGAAGGTCTCTCACGCGAGGATGGAAAGAACGCCTGCTCTGCACGGTACATGGGATCCCATGCGGAAGGGTGTTGCAGGAGGGCTTCTCGCTCGTGCCGCCGTACAACTCTTCCGAAACTGTGGATGACCAGGAAAGATATGATCAACCCTGACGCCTGCTTTGAGAATGGGTATAATAACTGCGGAAATGTGAAGGGCTCACAATTCACCCCAATCCAGCCCCCAGGCCCCAGAACGAGCCCCAAGTTCACGCCAACAGAACTCAGCACGGCAGCGACACCACAGCTACCAGCGATGAATGCAGTATGAAATAACTTACATGACACAATGCATCGTTAGCTCCAAACATACAAGGAGTATGCAAACCACATACCTCGTTACGCATGGCTTCTTTGAATAACTCCATGCGAGGGATCGACTTTTCGAGCCGTTCGGTTGACATAGGCGGAGATGAAGCACTGGGCGGTCCCCGATCGGGGTCGTAATGCACGGGGGCATTCCTTCGAAGGCCTCCAGAAGGAAAGCCGGGATGCTTCAGAGGGTACGGGCCTGGAAGGGAGGGCTTCCGCTGATATGCATACGCCGGAACTTCCTCTTGCTTATTCGGCTCGCGGGACTTGAACCATGGCATCTGCCAGCGACGAGGGGCCACTTGAGAGTTAACCCCATCCGGCGGACTTGATCGCTTGGTTTTGTGGACGTCGGGCACATAATCCCACCATCCGCGTCTATCGTTACTAGCTGCCGACTGTCCTGGCACCTCGGTCCCTACTGAGTGGATGTGAATGGACAGACGGCCAGAAGCTGCGGAGGTACGGGAGGATTTCCAGATCGCGAAGAAAACTACGCCACAGAGCTTAGTCAAATGCGGCGTAAGGCATGGCGAGACTCACAGCAGACGAACAGGAATATGCACTCGGCACAGAATAGTGCGAAGACGATTTGTATGTAACTCGTATGTCCGTTTAATGTACAGCTCCCTACCTCCCAGTTAGTCTGAAATTTGCATCGCTGTGAGCGGGCTTACCGGTGAAGTCTTTCATGCCCTGGAAGCTTATGAGGTCCAGCAAGGCGCATGCAATGATGGAGACTTGGAAGGCCGCAATCACCAAAAGTACGACCAGTGAGTCGGACAGACAGCGGTACGCCTTTACTCCAAGTATGCCGGATATCTGCTCATACGGTATGTATGTAGAACCTCCCCCAGTCGGTGATGAATGCTTACCAACAGAGACTCCGATGAGAACACCGCAATGCTAGCTATGCAGTTGACTCTGTGGGTGGGCATCATAAACACCAACGAGAGGGACAGTATTGCCTACGTACATTGTGCAATCCGACGGTCTGAAGAACGCGACGGTTATTGGCACGACACCCACTGGGCCGAGCAGTTGGCTCAGGAGTAAGGCGTAGAAAAGATATTTGTGCTTTATTCTACCCCTCCGAATATAATCGAAGGAGACTAAGATATTGCGTATGAAAAACGCCAGGCCGGCCCCCAAGCCGAACAGCATGCCGTTCGAAGAACGTATGGCCTCAGTGAGTGCTGGAGTGACCAAGGAACCATCTGGCAGCGCACTGTATGGTGCATACGACCCGATGGGAGCAATGGAAACGAACGTGCTATAGGAGGCAACCACCAGGCTTCCAGGCAGACGAGCAGCCATTGCATCAAATCCAGCTAAAGATAGGCCTGTGGCGGCTGCAAGGTCCGACGCAGCAGTTGAAGTCCAGGGCAAGTTGGCGGCATCCCAGGGCGTAGATTTGGATGCTAGGGAAAGGGTCTCCGTCGGGTGAGCTCCCAATAGCCGCGGAAATCTTGAATACGAAGTCCTAGGCGCGACCGCCACACCGCGGAGCCCGGAGCTCATGACTACAGAACGAACAACCTAGCGGCGCTATGTAGGTGGAACGTGAGCCTAGAAATCACCTCGCCTGCCGGAAGGCATCTGAACATGGAGGAGACCTCAAGGGAAAAAATGGGGAAGAGGGAGGAGGGGAGACGGCAGGGGAAGTTAGTAGGACATCGATCCAATCACACGTCAAACAAACAAGTTCGCGGCAATGAAATGCGTAGCGAGCCCAGGTCATTACACCTTATATGGTCGTTACAAGGTCCAATTATCTGACAAAGCCACGCGAAAATGAGCGTTGCATCAATCTCTGGTTGACAGCCTCCACGCAGGAGTTCCTCGTTCTTGGATGCAGCTTGTTCCGTTTTGCCGGTGACGGAAAGGGGCAATTATCAGTGCTGTGCACCATCACCGCACGTGGGAGCAATACTAGTCCATGGTGGACTGCAGTTCCCACTTTCCTCGATCACCTCAAATTATAGTGTAGATCAACCAAGGTCGTACACCCTAGTACTAGTAGTGTGCCGGTCCAATTCTACCTACGTCCTGATAACCGCTGCAGGAGACATGTCGAAAGAAAGCACGAAGAAGACGGCTCCGACCATCATTATCACCGGTACACCCGGCGTGGGCAAGTCCACGCACGCTCAGCTCCTTGCGCAGGAATCTCCAGCGCCCTTGAAACACATCAATGTCGGTGACCTAGTCAAGGAAAAGAATCTGTACGAAAGCTATGACGAGGAATGGCAGAGCTATGAAGTGGATGAGGATAAGGTGCGCCGTGGACGTGAGATCAGGCATACTGTTACTTACAGAATCCGAATCGTACAGCTTCTAGACGAGTTGGAACCCATCGCAGCCGCAGGCGGTGTCATCCTTGACTGGCATACATGCGAAATCTTCCCGGAACGCTGGGCAGACCTGGTCGTAGTCCTGCGATGCAATCACACCAAGCTATGGGAACGACTGGAATCAAGGTTAGATCCATATCTCCACGGACCTAGGACATGTGCTCACGCTGCCTCTGCAATTGTAGAGGTTATCCATTGAAGAAGATACAAGAAAACAATGAAGCCGAGATTATGGAAGTAGTACTCGAGGAAGCGCGTTCTTCATATGCCCAGGAGATCGTGGTAGAGCTCCAAAGCGAAGGAACTGAGGATTTGGAGGCCAATGTCGCACGCATCGTGGAGTGGGTAAAAGCATGGCAGCGAGATCAGGCCTCAGCGAACGATAGCGGTTAACAAAGGAATATTGTACAACTAGAACCAGTAAGTGGCAGCATTATGGAAGTAAAACAATAGACGGTATACACTCGGCAGGGAAGCAAGCACCTTAGGCGGGCATGAATACCCACATCCTCTTCCGGTCAACGAGGTCATATCCCTGAGGTAGCTCTTGCTCGGTCCTCAGACGCTTGGGAGTCTTCTTCTTCCCCTCGAGAATCCGGATCTTCTCGAAGTATTTGTACCTGATGATCGCAGTGAATCAATCTATTGTATGTGCATGGGGATCTAGACGAGCTTACGCAGCAACATAGGTTCCGTTCTCAGCCCCGCCAGTGGGCCCAGTGGCTTTCACTGATGACAGTCAGCACATGTTCGGAGTTAGGTACACGGTTGGCCTACTGAATCTTCCGTAAGAGTTACTGTTGATGTTGCCGATCTCTCTCAACCAGGCTGTGATCTGATGGACGGTGTAAGATCATCTACCATACACAAGCAACTGCGCCTTACCTTGAATCCTGGTGTCTTCTGAAGTGCCCTAATCTTTCGCCGTATATCGTTGCAGTCGTCACTGGGAGCATTCATTTAGCACGTCCGTTCGTGACAGACAATAGCGAGAGGTGTCTTACTAAATGGGAACTCCGTCCTGTAAGGAATGGCGCGTCAACGCGTGTCAGAATAGAACGCGACAGCATAACCTACCTCGTCATCTTCTCCTTCCAATACGACATCCTGCCACCTCGTGGGTTTCTTAGGCGCGTCCTCTTTCGCCTTGCCCTTGGACGTCTCGGCAGCTACGCCCGAGCGCGCTTTCTTCTTAGCAGGAGCGGAAGGGCCAGCCTCTGCCACAGCCGCGTCTTGATTAGGTAGAGAAGAGTCCGCGAAGACAGCGACCTCGGGAAGGTCTTGCGTATCTGACTTGCGCTTGGGGGCCATTGCAGAGTATATATGCGATAGTGCTGACAGGGAGACGGTGGTGGTTGTGAGGGGAGAGGGGATGCGGAATTCGTCCAATATATAGGCCCCACAAGCGAGCTTCTAAGCGACGTTCAACGAAAGGAAACGCTATATTCGAAACGCGTCGACGCGTCTGGCCCCTCGCGTCGCGTGACGTAACGCGTCCCGGCTGTCACACCGCGTTCGAACTGCATCATTTCGAAGACTCGAAACTGGGACGCCTTTATGACATTAATCCACGCGCTACCAATATGAACACACTACGTTATCAACAGGTAATACGATTATTATGGGCGAGTTGCATCATGTTGCCCAAAAGGCAAAGGCCTCAAAGCGACAAGCTCTTTTAGAGGCGACAACGATTCATCGGACGACACTAGGCGTGGCAACTTCGATGGTACACTAGAAGGAAGAGTAGTATCGTATGGAGCGAGAGGATGCGAAGAGTCGCGCGGACTCGCGTACAACGCAGGATAGTTCGTACGACACCGCGGAGACGGGTCGTGCTGGTCATACGAGAGACATTCGCTGGCCACGAGTGGAAACCCTTGTCCACGGATATCTGCGGATTTCTAGGCAAAGACTAGTCAGTATCCTGAATCCGAGGACTCCGCTGCACCAGCAGAAGCTTAACAGTTTAGGAGAGCTCGGCTTACCTCAGTCCCAAGGTCAGGCAGCTGGGCACAAGACTTTCTCGACGGGGTGGAGGGTACCGTCGGGATAGTCCCAGTATTTCGACTCGTGGGCGATCTTGAATGGTTACCCATCGGACCAAGCTGACTTCGAGGAACACCTAGAGATTGAGATAGATGGGCTACATGGGCGGAATTCTCGTAGAACGGCGCAGATCCGCTGTCCTGGGGCAGAAACAGACCTAAGCCGACGCATGCAGATGAGTCGTCGATGGCTTCAGGGAAAATCCGTCCACGGGAGGAAGAGTCAGTGGGAGAGTGAGCCAATGCAGTCGTTCGACGCCGCGGAAGGTGCGGCGGCATTACCATCACAGGATCCGGATCATTTTTCAGAGATCCCTCCGCTGCGTCAGAACGCCGCGAAGGAGATTGGTCAACCGCTATCTTCTCGTCGCGTCCTAGGGCGTCCTTTGGACCGGACTGGGACTTGCCTTCGACTTTCGGTTGGTCGGTCTTCTCCTTCTGAGCGATGCCTCGATGCCATTTGATGTGTATCGCCAGCCCATTAGGCAAATTGAATTTCCGGGGACATAAGTGACAAGGGTATACTGTACGAACTTGAGGACCAGACTTGGCTTGCGTCTTACTTTTGCTTGATTTTTGCGACCTTTCGTTAGGCGACTGTACGTGGGATTGCGAGTTTCCGCGCTGTTGCAAAAGGTATAACGGAAGATCAGTCGCAATAGGACGCGGTGCGTGGACAGGAAATGCGTGAGGCAGGTATGTTTCGGGATAAACGTCCGCGTACGGAATCCGAGCTTGGCTGGTATCGACCTGATAACGACTCTCCTGATGAGGGCCAGGTACCGAGGGATTACCTCTCCAGTAAGAATCCGTGAAGAAAGCAGCATGAGGAGGTAACGGAACGAGATTGAATCCTTGTGTCTCAACGCGAGGCCCACCAAGAGAACTTCTGGGCACAGCAGTAGACGACATGGACGAATACGAGGATATGTCGGACATTGAGGACGCAGGTGAAAGGGTAGGCGTTGTCCGACAGCTGGAGAGACTCGGGCCAGAGGAGACACTAGACAAAGATGAGGATGGCGAGATTCCCGGGTGGCCCATTGAATCATTTCGTGGTCTTCGAGTGTCGACATGAATGGGAACGAGTGAGTGGGACATGTTCGCGATACCGCTCTGCCGTCTGGGAAATTGCGCTTGAGGCGGCCAGTCAGAAACTTGTGGAGGTCTGTCGCTAAATGCGTGGTGAAAGGGTCCGAAATACGGGTTAAAAACCGGGGGTTCATCGGGGTATATGCGCCTGGATTCTAGCGGGAAGCCATGGTCCATAAAAGGCCGTGCACGTGTCGGCATTGGTTGCTGAGGCGCGCATATACGAGAGTCAACATATTCAGATGGGGTGGGAGGCACCGAATAACCGTGAGTAATCTGCGAAGCATCGGCGGGGAAATAGGAGCCATCTTCTTCATCGAGATTCTTCATTAGATTGTTGACTGGTGTGGCGGGTCTTGTAGGCATCGGGTGGTCAACCTGCATACCGTGGTTCGCAGGAACATCCTCCGCCTTCACTGAGTGAAATTGGTCCAGAGACTCGTCGAGTAAGGGTAACTGGAACGTGTGTGCGAACATCGGGAGTGGGCCAGTCGCGGCGAAGTGAAGCGACGGGCTTGAAACAGGCTCAGGATCGACGTCCATTTCCACGATGCTGTCGGGATCCCCATCGCTCGGCCTGCAACCACGTCAAATGAATACCCACCAACCACCTGAGAGACGAGTGGAAACAGATACTTACATTCGACGCCGGAAAGCAAAAGGGTCAGCCCTAAAGACCGATACCATGTCCGATGGTATCTCACTCGGCCAGCGGCCACAGATTTTGTTCGCGCCTGTTTCTTCATTGCATGCAGGGAACTGGCGGCGAAGGTCTACGGACCCAATACTGGAACTAGTGGCTGTATTTTCGGCATCCACTTCGACCCGAGCCTTCACGTTGCTCGAGCTGGGCTGCGGCGGAGGGAGACTGTCACCAGTAGCAGAAGCTGGGCGATCTCTGAGAGACAACTCGAGGATAAATCTGACGGAGGGCAAGGGGGACGAGGACTGCATGGCCAAAGATATGACGATGGTACAAAGAGACCAAGGTGAAAGACGGTCGGTCTGTAAGTAGTCCAAGTGCACAAGGGCGGGCAGATGAAGGGCCTCGTGAAAGCGTCTTCAGGTTTCCAAATGATACTAATGGGCCGTCGAATTCGACGGGCGATATTGGCGACAAGAACGTATGACACGCATCAGAGAGCGCGCGACCCTACCATTCAGAACAGATTGCTTCGCGCAATGGAAAGACACGCTCGGTGTCGGAGCCGCTTGGAGCCCCCTGGCGTCGCTCATCCGTGACGAGTGAAGAACGCGTGATATGGAGAAAGACTGCTTTAACAAAGCTGCGTCTTCACAGAAAGCCGAGCGTCGATTCGCTACGTTTCGGCTAGATCTGTGAGGGAAAACGGCTATCTTCGCCGCAGAAATGATGGCACAGTGGAGTGCAGATCCAGTCTAGAAAACCAATCGAATAAAAACCCCAAATGTCGCGCGAAACAGTGAAGGGTTGTAGTCTTGGGGTTTCCCATCTTCACGTAGCCGGATATATAGCAGTCACTGCAGATGTAAACCGACTGGGAGCGGATCCATCAGAGTATCTGGCTTCGAAGATGTCGCGCCCGGGCCCGGGACGATCCTGGATGCCTGGCCCGCATCATGCTTCTCCTCAGGCCACATCGGGAACAACGAGTGGCGAACCTTCGATATGTTGTTTGGCGCACATCAGCACTGCTCGAGAGCCCGGACGAGATAGTGAAAGACCGAGGGTACAAAGCAGCCCTGAGATTCCTGTCGCAAAGCAGGTCTGGCAGAGTCGATGTCGGTGTCAATGGCCAAATTGTGGCCACGTATCCCATTCTGATCTGTGAAAGTACTTCGTGGCGGAGAAGCACAACTGTATTACTTGTCATCGCTGACTTGACGTAGGCTTCAGCAGATTAGACTCTGGCAGAAGTCTAAGGGCGCCGGCGCGGTAAGTCGTATATCGCCTGGAGCTCGCCAATGGCAGAAGATGCACTGGGTTCACTCCCGAGTGGTCGGGAGAAGATTCCATCTCGGCGGTCCCGCTCCGTGACGTGTACGGAGGATGAGGAATGGAGGGTCCTTTGGATTCCCGGAAATTTCCCCTACGGAGATCCTTGACTTGATGTTTGCTTGATGTTGCTGTGGCTGAACCGCCGGCCCGTTGCAGCCGGGTCGCACCCCGTTCCGGACACCGGGCGGAGTTCTCTCCTCTCATCCCACCCGAGTCTGCGTCGGTTGCCAGTAGAGGAGTTCCTACGATAACAGTTCAAGTTGGATAACAGCGTCATAGTTATTGCTGATGTTGACTTCTACATTTACAACGGTCGCTTTAAGCTCAGGCTCTGCGAAGGGCGGGAGGCCGACGCCACCAAATCATTCCAGGTTCTTCCGTTCTGGCGATCCCAACCTCCGCTCAATTTTAAGGCTCACGGTGTGCTATCTGTCAGCCAGTTACTTTTAGCATGTCCCGTAATTATCTGGCGGGAGCATCGATAGGGCCCCTTACTCGGTAATTAGGCTGACCAACGCCTCGCTGGGTGACACAGATATGACTTCACGTATCGCTACCCGTCCGTATAAAGGGATCCTTCTGTACCGGATGATTTCCTCAACGCCCCTGCCTGCGCCATTCCTCTCTTGCATTGATCACTCTCAAAATTCCCGATCATGTCTGAAGTCCAATTCAAAGGTTATGCTATCACTGGTAAGCTTTCCCTTGTATCATCAGACGGAAGGACTGAGTAAATCTGGACAGATGCCAGTCTTTGGGTAAATCAACTTCAGGTATATAAATGGACCGTTTTAACTTGTCGTGTAGACGCAATTCAGTATCGTCGAGTATCAGCCGAAGAACTTTGACGACAACGACGTCGAAGTAGCCATTGCTTACTGCGGGTAGGCTCACCGTTGTCTTACCCGGTCCCCACATAGTGACGCCTGTGCAGCGTTTGCGGTTCAGATGTGCACACGATCACTGAAGGGTAAATGCCATACTACTTTGTATATCTATTTTCCTAAGTTTCTCCGCTATGATGTAGTTGGGGAAAGATACCGACTCCCCTTGTCGTCGGGTATGTCCAAGTCCCTGATCCGTCTCTGCGAGCGACTAATTTGACGTTCCCTGGGAAATGCACAGGCACGAAATCACAGGCAAAGTGACCCGAGTGGGGGCCAACGTCAAGCAGTTCAAAGTCGGCGACAGGGTCGGAGTGGGCGCACAGATCGGCAGCTGCTACAAGTGCAGGGCGTGTACTAATGAGCAGGAGAATTACTGCCCGAACAAGATCGATACCTACGTGCGTCTTCCCATCAGCCACGGCGACTCACGCTGACCACTTGCTTGCAGAACGACCACTATCCTGATGGCGTATTCGCGCAGGGTGGTTACTCGACCGCCATTCGCGCGAACCAGCAATTTGTGTTCCCCATTCCTGAAAATCTGCCGCTAAAGTATGCTTCATCGATGCTTTGCGCTGGCCTGACGGTATTCTCTCCGTTGAAACGGCATGGGTGCGGGCCGGGTAAGAAAGTTGGGGTTATCGGCATTGGGGGTCTCGTGCGTAAATGAAGGAAATGTGCTGCTTGTCGCGGCTAACGTGCGTGATAGGGACACTATGCTGTCTTATTCGCAAAGGCAATGGGCGCCGAGGTGTATGCGTTCACGCATAGCACCCGAAAAGTGGACGACATCAAGAAGATGGGCGCAGACCACGTCGTTGTTACCGGTACCGTGCGTGCGTTCCTTAGTCGTCTTATAGTTTGGGTTCTGATGCAGTCCTAGAACCCCGACTTCGCCAAGCCGCTGCACATGATGTTGGACCTCATCGTGTGCACAGTCGATGTCGGTACTGATATGCCCTTGGCCGACTACCTCAGTACGCTCTGGGTCCACGGGAAGTTTGTCATGGTTGGCCTGCCCGACGAGCCACTGCCTCAAATGAAGGCGTTCGACTTCCTCTGCGGCGCTTTCCTCGGTGGGTCACACATCGGCAACAAGGTTGAGGCCGTAGAGATGCTACAGCTGGCGGCTTCCAAGGGTATCCGGCCTTGGTACGGGTTTCGCTTCGCTGTCAAGATGCGTAGTTAACCTTGTTAAAATTAGGATCGAGGAGTTGCCCATGAGCAAGGCCGGAGAGGCCGTGCAGCGAGTGAAGAAGGGCGATGTCCGTTACCGCTTCGTGCTGAAACAGGACATTGCGCCGATCGACATAGAGTGAAGGGACTGCCGGTGGGCGAAAGAAGATACCTGAGATCGTAGTCTTAATGAGAAATGAGACTCTGCCAGTACATCGGTATAGTTATTTCATAAATTGACAGCTGTGGCAGGAACTACTATCAATTTCTAGAAATTAGAGTTTTCTTCAATAATATATATGTCCGGGTCTCGATGCTCAACTGCACGACTAGACGGGAGACATCGTTGCGACGATCTTATTGAGGTATAAACTTTACCGCCTTCACAACCCGGTGAACAATGACAGAACGTCCGTGCACGACTTCGATCGGTGGATTGCTCGGTTCCGAGGCGCGCTGTGATGGGTGGCGTTTCCTTCACTTCGCGCGTCGCATCAAGTGATGTGCAACCTTCTACCTCAATTCGGAAGTCAAGCTGCTCGTTCGAGTTCGCAGAGTCGAGAAGACGGCAGCAGGATCGGATGACTTCATCCATAGACGATGATCGTCCTCGTCATTATACAGCTTGGCCGTCTGGCGTTGGCTATAAGACGGGGAGCAAACGTTCAAATCGGGCGAGCACCCGACTCTCTTTCTCTTACTGGCACTGCTTTCGTCGACTGAACTACAGCCATGTCTCAAGTGCAGTTCAGAGGGTACGCTATAACTGGTTTGTGCTCACCGCTGCGCATACCAGTGTCCTTGCGCTGACGCCTGTTCACCATAAGATCCTAAGAAATGGGTGAGTTTGATAGGAAACGAAGCGCTCAGATGATGTAAGACTGCGCCATGTCTAGAGTGATTTCAGCATCATCGACATCAAACCGAAAACATTCGAGGAGACAGACGTCGAGATAGCGATCACTCACTGCGGGTAAGGGCCTGCACGCATTTATCGAGCTTGTTCCAATGCTCACTACCGACCGTAGCGTTTGTGGATCTGATGTTCACATGATTACTCAAGGGTAAGTATGGATCACGTACGTAAGTATGCGTATGTGGTCAGTCGTCACTTTCTTTTCCAGTTGGGGAGAGGCGCCTTTCCCCCTGGTTGTTGGGTACGTCTGGACCTTGTCTCCAGGGTGTTCCCAAGCCGTCTAATCTCGTCGTGATCCGCCAGGCACGAGATCGTAGGGAAGGTCACCCGGGTTGGCTCGCAAGTCAAAGAGTTCAAAGTCGGCGATCGTGCTGGCGTCGGAGCTCAGGTCGCTAGCTGCTACGAGTGTCGCGCTTGCAAATCGGACAACGAGAATTATTGCCCCAAATCGCTTAGCACCTACGTTCGCCAGATCCCCTCGGATTAATCACTCAACTTATGCTTGACCTTTACAGGCGGACAAGTACCCTGACGGGGTGGTCACCCAGGGTGGCTACTCTACCGCCATCCGAGCGCATGAGCAATTTGTCTTCCCGATCCCCGAAGCTCTTGAGTCGCGCTATGCAGCTTCTATGTTGTGCGCGGGGCTCACCGTATTTTCTCCTCTCAAACGCAATGGCGCAGGACCTGGGAAAAAAGTCGGTATCGTTGGGATAGGCGGCTTGGTGAGTGTCCACGGTGCATGCCGTGAAGACTGTGACTGATCTGCCACAGGGTCACTATGCCATCATGTTCGCCAAGGCCATGGGTGCTGAGGTGTATGCCTTTACTCACGACAAGAGCAAAGTCGAAGATATCAAGAAGATGGGAGCCGACCATGTCATTGTCACGGACGATGTCAGTGTTCCCACGTATCTCCGTGTACCGCCTTCTGATATTGCTGCCTTATTCAGAAAGGCGACTTTGCCAAAGAGCTGGCCCATTCGTTGGATCTCATAGTTTCAACTCGAGACGTGGCCGAGGGCATGCCGTTGCAACAATATCTCAGCATGCTTTGGGTCCATGGCCGATTCGTTACGGTGGGACTGCCAGACAAGCCCCTCCCACAGCTGACTGCCTTCGACTTGAATCCTAACGGGTGTTTCTTGGGGAGCTCCCATATAGGGAGCAAGAAGGAGGCGATAGAGATGTTGCAGCTAGCAGCTGACAAAGACATCAAACCTTGGTATGCAGTGTCTTCGTCTCATTGAAAGTTGCCATACGTCTGATACCCTTTTGCATTCAGGATCGAGGAGTTGCCTATGAAGGACGTCCAGCAAGCTGTGGAGAGACTCAAGCGGAACGATGTTCGATACCGCTTCATCCTGACCCAGGACATAGCCTAACCTACATCGTCGGTTCATTCTCGTAGGCGGCACCAATTTGACTGTGGGTAGGTGTAGAGAAGAACGTAAATAGTGTCGCGAATAGAACAGTTGTTTGTATTGATTCGTATCAGGAGCTCTAGGAAGTCATTTCAATTCCATCAATCACTGAAGGACCAATCAGCATGCGAGTCAGCCCTTCCGAAACAAAACTGCAGCTTCAAGCCGTATACTCCCGAACCATTCAAGCGTTTAAATATACAGTCTGCGCATGGTTCCCTCTTGAAAGTACACAGGATATGCGTGAGGCGGCTATAGGAATACAATACCTGGAGCTAGGACTTCAAGTTGGAAGCCCCGGCGTCAGGAATAACGCTGTTAGCATCGCCTCCGCGTCGAAGAGACCGTGTAGGTGGATAGTCACTACCAGCGCTTCATTTTAAGACTTCAGCAACCACAGTCCCGCGCAGGTCGAAGGGAACATCTTCTGCCTGTGCTGCACCTCGCTTTCCGCGATTAATCCGCTCCCATGATAGTCAGAAGGTCTCGGCATTCCGGTCCTAGATAAGGTGCATATTCCCGTCATATTTTTAGTCGCGATGAACTCTACATAACGGCATGGAGAGGTCATAGAGCATACCCTTGTCGTACCTGGAAGATGCCTCTCGCCGTTTGCGGTTATACTTGGCTCTGCTTGTGACTCACGTACCTTCTTCTAATAACCTCGCGTCTTCTGCGGGTTATGGCAATAGGAGGCTGAGCGAATAACTCCCTCGCAGGCATTTTACGTTTCCTGAATAGAAGGGGTGATATTACCTTCGAGATCCCACTGCGGGTCTGCATCAATCCAAACTTGGGATAGAAGAGCGCTCGTGGACTACCCTGGAAGCAGATAACCTGGAGACGAATGACCTCACAATGAGCTGCTTATCCGGGGTTGAGCCGTGCGTGATGATATGGCTTTCCCCCATACTTAAGCACCCCAACAGCGCGCCTGATAGGCGCACGTCTACTCGTCAGGTCTCCAGTAACCATGTCCTTCATCGGCACAATCAAACGGCGCTTCAGCCCCGGCCAATCCAATCAGCAGCATCCTGCTGCTGCAACCCAGCAGGCAGCTCCAACAAACGTGGAATTCAAGGGATATGCTGTGACCGGTGGGAAACTCCTGAAGCTCGCATTTCTTTATAGATTGCTCATTGCGAACAAATTCTAGATGCAAGCAACTGGGTAAGCCGGATAAGCAGAGGGGGAGGGGAGAGGATGGGGCGGTGACGGAGCTAAGGTCAAGCTGACGGCAATGCACAGAGCTCGTTCAACGTGATCGATTTCCAACCTAAGACATGGGAAGATACCGACATTGAGCTTGCTATCACGCATTGCGGGTGAGCCTCGACATACCTTCCAGACGTGCACTGCATGCTCACCGTATGATAGCGTCTGCGGCTCAGACGTGCATACTATTACATCGGGGTAGGGGCGACAGACCACCATCATGACCCATACAATCCTAACTTTTATTGATAGATGGGGATCTTTCCCAACGCCGCTGGTAGTTGGGTAAGTGCAGCAACAAGACACAGGGAGCACTCAACTACTTAACATGTTTCAAACCGCAGGCACGAAATCATCGGGAAAGTCACCCGCGTTGGGTCCAAGGTCAAGGGCTTCAAAGTCGGTGATCGAGCGGGAGTAGGGGCACAGATTGGTGCCTGCTACTCATGCCGCGCGTGTAAGACGGATAATGAACAATACTGCCCCAAGAAGATTAACACCTACGTACGTGGCTTCTCCGACTCGATATGGGATAAGCTTTCAATCCTGATCTTCTGACAGGCCGGCGAATACCCTGATGGAGTGAAGACCCAGGGAGGGTATTCCATGGCAATCCGGGCGCACGAGCAGTTCGTTTTCCCGATACCAGAGAAGCTCGAGTCGCGCTACGCCGCCTCCATGCTCTGTGCTGGCCTGACGGTGTATTCTCCGCTGAAGCGCCACGGCGCTGGCCCCGGAAAGAAAGTCGGAATCCTTGGCATAGGCGGTCTTGTAAGTGATGCTTATACTCTACATCTCACGGAGGCTGAGCCATGCATCGTAGGGACACTATGCCGTATTGTTCGCGAAGGCCATGGGGTCGGAGGTGTACGCGTTCACTCATAGCGAGAGCAAGGTCGAAGACATCAAGAAAATGGGAGCAGATCATGTCATTGTAACAGACGAGGCAAGCGGGAAGCTTTCCAGACTGATGTTCGAGGTGATGAAGAGTTATGGAGGCAGCAGCACGCACAGTGCGCCCTACACAACTCACCTGTATTGGTTGGATGCTGTAGCTACTGGTAAAGCTCGTATGAACGACCCTTGTCATTAGGCAGCAGAGCTGCAGGGTATATATACACTGTGGCCCATAGGCTGACTAAGCTACGTGGAATATCTATAATCCTACTGAGCTCCACCTATGATGTCACTGACCCACATGAGCTCTGTGCCCTGTACAATAATGGAATATACCAGAATATTCCAGAGGATTCCGGTACGTTCTGGTACATTGTAGAACCTGGCAGCTAAGTCAGCGCCCAGTTCAACACTCCCCCTTGCTAAATGCCGCGGATAATCGCGCATGCAAGCGTTGGGCTGACTTAGATTACTTGTAGAACCTAAGTCCAAGTTGCGCTCTGAAGCGCAAGAACTTGACATGTCCTAAGTTCTTAGTGAACATGTCAGCAGGGTTATTCTCGCCATCGATGTAGAATACTTCAACTTTCTTCTGCTCGATGACTTCCCTGATATAATGATAGCGAATGTCAATATGTTTAGACCTTCGCTCGGTGACTGGATTAGATGCAAGGAATATAGATCCTTGGTTGTCACCGCAAATAGGAATGGGGCCGAGTTGGTAGCCTAACTCATCGAAGAGTTGCTTTACCCATACACATTGGCGGCTGCAATCACTGAGCGCCATGTACTCGGCTTCAGTGGAGGATAGCGCAACAGTTTTCTGCGCTCTCGACTGCCAACTGAATATGCCATTGGCTAATTTAAGGAAGTAACCGGTTTGGGACTTCCTGGTACTGGGATCTGATGCCCAGTCCGAATCAGTGCACGCAGTAATACCAAGTCCACTAGCACCATCAAAAGCTAGTGTGTAATTACGAGTCCCGATTAGATAGCGGCAGATATACAGCGCTTTGTCTAAATGGGCTTGAGATGGATTAGCAGCAAATTGCGCTAACTTGGTAACTGCATAGCTGATATCCGGTCGAGTTCCAAGCATGATATAGAGCAAGGAACCGATCACAGTTTGGAACCGGCTACGAAGAGTAGGATTGACCGGGCCATTGTGAGGTTCAGGTCGATAGCCTGCAGGGAGAGGAGTTGGTGCAGATTTTGCATTCTGCATGCCACAACGCTGCAGCACTTTATCAAGGTAGGCGATCTGATCCAGATGAATCTCTCGGCCTTGCCTTGTAATGCGCATGCGAAGGAATTCCTTGACATCGCCAAGGTCCCTGCATTCCCACTTCTTCATGAATCGTGACTTAACATCTGTCACGAGAGACTTGTCCTTGCCAAAGAACAAGGCATCGTCTACATAGACGACTATAATAATCATGCGGCCATCCTTCTCCTTGAATAAGAAGATGCCAGCATCGGTAGTTAGACGTTTGCAGCCTAATTTCTCCAAAGACTCAGCAAGTGTGCGCCACCAGGCAAGCCCCGCTTGCTTAAGTCCGTAGAGTGCACGGCGCAGTCTACAAACCTTGTGCTCCTGGCCTTTTACGGCGAAGCCTTCAGGTTGTTCCATATATATCTCCTCATCCAGTTTGCCATAAAGATAGGCATTGCGCACGTCGAGTCCAGATATGTGCCAGTCCTCAAGCGCTGCTAGCGCGAGCATAAGGCGCACTGTCTCAAAGCGCACAACTGGTGAGAATATTTGGTCGAAGTCTATACCTTCAACCTGCGAGAAGCCTTTAGCGACTAATCTCGCTTTGCGACGTCCATCTGATTTGACGTCAAATACCCAGCGACATTTTATGACTTTACGCCCTTTAGGGCGGTCAACCAAGTCGAAGACTCTGCGCCGACGAAGTGCATCCAATTCTTCGTGGCAAGCAGCTCTCCATTCCTTCTGCTTCTCTGGTGGTAAGCGAAGGATATCGCGGTACGTCCATTCTCTGACATTGGACGTGTCTGGATCATCTGCCTCAGGCGAAATAGCCTTCAGAAGCAGGTAATTGATCAATGGTACTCCCCCTTCCCGGCATAGCTGTGCCAGAAGTAACTCATCAGCGTCGTGTTCAGACCGCTGGTCAGAGGCTTCAGGAGCGACTGGCTCATGCGAAGCACCCGGGGATTGAGCAGGAGGGTCGCGAGGTGGAGGGGCAGAGCTAGG